GTCAATTATTTGGCTAGATTTTCTTCAAAACCAGGCGACAAACATTGGCTGGCTTTGAAGAATTTGCTTTGGTATATTAGTGGTACAAAAGGTGACGGAATTTATTTTAGAAAGAAGGAACAGGATGTGGATTTAATTACTTATTGTGATGCGAATTGGGGAGGAGAATTTTCTAGGTCAACTCACGGCTTTTCTGTTTTTCTTTTTGGTAATCTTATTTCTTGGGCATCAAGGAGGCAGAGTTGTGTGGCTACATCGACTTGTCATGCCGAGTATATGGCTTTGGGGGTGGCTTCTAGAGAATCGATATGGATTCAAAGCTTACTTGAAGTCATTTTTAAGAAATCATTCATTACGACTTTAAAGTGCGATAATACTGCGGCAATTAAGGTGGCTCAAGACTTACATTTAACCAAACGGTCCCATCATGTTGCAAGAGAGTTTCACTACGTCAACGAGCAAATCTTCGATGGAAACTTAAAGATAACTTGGATTGATGGACCAAATCAGAAAGCCAATATTCTCACTAAATCATTAGGAAATGTAACATTTCAAATTCATAAACACAATATCTGCATGTCATAGGACATAAACCTCTAAAGGTTGAGGGGGGGGTGTTATGGCTGAAGCAGCTAGGCACCGTAGGTGACTAGGCTAATCTCACCCATTCTCGGTTTAGCCCAGGTGGAAGATCTAGGTTGTTAGATCAGGGCTGGTTTCTTTCTTCTTTGTTTGCGTCATTGTTGTTAGTGCTTAGGTGAAACATGTTTCACATAAATAGTTCTGTTTTCTTCCTAAAACTTGTTTTGCTTTTCTCTATTGTCACAAACTATTTGTTTCGGTAGATTTCACTAACGACTAGTTTCACTAGGTAGATTACATTTTCATTTCATGCAATTGTCACAAACTATTTGTTTCGGTAGATTTCACTAACGACTAGTTTCACTAGTTTTATTGTGTTTCATCATCTTTCGTCTCTACATTTCCGACTTCAAACGGACGTGTGAGAATATATATAAGTAAAACAAATCTCGATATTTCGATATTCTCTGCAGCCTCAGGCCAACTATCGATATATGTAAAAGAGTTACAAATTTCATTGCACACGTTCGGTTTCCAGTGGTTTTCATGAGCTAGCTTTCCAAGTGTTATCGATCAACTTCACATCAAACCTTGGCCACTTTTCGGTGTCATCATTATGCTCAAAACTTCACTTTCAGCTATAGCCATCCTTTTCCTCATGTCTTCTGCATTGGCGCTGCAAGGTACTGTGCATAAAACTGTCCTCAAAGACAATATTGGTTACTCATTCACACACATTTGCATATCCTTCTCTGATAATCCCCTGACACTTCTCATGACTGATGATTAATCAGATTATTTTGATGATAGTGAGTTCTGATATATTTTATGCGGCATTTTGTGGCAAATTATAAGCTGAGCCATCAGCGTAGCCCATTTCCCCGAAGTGAACAATATCAAGAATAGGTTTGTAAGGTGCTTACGTAATAAATTAAGTCCTGAACTTCATGAGATTCTTACAAAGGACGTTGAAATCGAAACAGAAGATGGACTGCCCAAGGAAAGGACAGGTAATATCCTCATCCACACGCATCTTGAATTTCACATCTTTATAGCCTCCTCTGAGGCTCTGACACATCCCATAAAATTCCTATGACTGATGATTCCCTTCATCATCAGATTTTCTTCGAATGGTAAATGATGGCAGATGGAGAAGAACAAATTTCCAAGAATGTAAGTCACAATTATTTACACACAAAACTTCCTCAAAGTCATTCTGTAAATGCAAATGTGACAACAAAGTTACATACAAACACTCGCACTGCCTGCCAAACCAGACTGTCAGAAGTCACTAGTCTCTGATTAGTAATTACCAGCCAGTGATTCCCTTCATACATCAAAAGATTGGCACATTAAGGATTGCAGCTGTGATATATAAAAGTCGACATACCTGTGAATCACAGCTTGAAGCTTCTTCTCATCATTTGATCAGAATTCCATCTTAGTCTCAAATTAATTACATTCTGGATGATTAGTTGATATAATTTTATTTCATGCCACAGTCAGATTTTCTTATTCATCAGGAATAGACGGAGCAGCAGAGAAGGAACAACAAGAGATCACAGGTACTGCTTGTGAAGAACTTGAACTAAGAATGCGGAAAGTAGAGGGAAACAAAATTTGCTTCATAAAATTCAAAGCCTGATCTGGTTGCTCATGTACACCTCTCCACGCCTAGAGTTTTGTAACCAGTGAGTTTAACTGGCACCAGGCTCCTTACACTCAACTGAGTCAAATTGCTTTAATTGAAGACGTGTTCATCCATATATCTTTCCTCTTGATACATTCCAATGATTTGCTCTCTGTCAGATTATGTCAAGATATGAGTCTTCATGATATGAAAGATTTAAGTGTATATCATCCAATATTTGCCAAAAAAATCCTACATTAATTCTTGCCCCTGTACCGCTCAAGCAATTGCGTGATTGCATGTAAACCACTAAGACAGGACTGTACATATGTTTTTCTGACCAGATTTAAAATATTCCCCAAATCCACAGTGGATTGCTTTTGAATTTCCTGGTTAGAGTGTCACAAAAAGTCAATTTGAACCCATTACAAGCCCCACATCTTTTGCAATCAATCATAAACAATTTTGAAACCCAGTCTTTGGATTTCTGTAGAGATCAGTCTGACATGAAAGTTATTCAATAGAGCAAACAAGGGTACATACTGAGGTGGGAAAATTCAGGAGGCAGCAAGATTTCAATCCTGATTATCTTTCCATTCCATGGGATTTATCTTACAATAAACTCTCTCTTCCTCAACTAAACCTGCCTTACAGTAAGGTCCCTTCTTTAAACTTGACTAAATCACAAAAGAACAACTTGAACCACTTTGTCCTTTGTTGATTTTTCACAGCTGAGTTGAATCAAGATGAATCTGCACAAGCTTGAAAATCCTTTTCAATGCTGGTAAGTACATAGTACAGTAACAGGCAATTGAGTGTTACATACACATATAACTGAATACTATGGTGACCCATCATGAAAAAAGAAACAAACAATAAATTCAAAAAAAGCCCAATTTATGCCTACCAAATCAATTGGAATAAATCCAAAACATCAAGCATCATCCAAAAATGAAAGAATCATGTGTGTTGTGTGTGTGAAAGATGACTTAGGCAAGAAGTCCCACCACATTTCATATATGAACACCAAGGAACATGAAAATGCCTGAATCAGCTTACCATCAGCTCAACTGCTCTTTTGTTTAGATCAATAAGAAAGATCATAATCAGTTCACATTCAACACCCAATATAATGTATTTTTTGCATACAAGGAGAATGAGTGAAGATCTGAAGACTACAAATATCTCAACCAGATTATTTTGATCATACTTTCTCAACAGAAATTAAAGAACTACATCCACAGTCACCCCCTCTCGAAACCATAACAAGTTATTTGAATAAAATATTATTAAATCATCAATCCATGGTAGTTGGGACGAATGTTTTAACTCACAGGAATCGGGGTAGGCGGGAAGGCTTTGTAAGACGCTGTGATTTTTCGGGAAAGACACGTCACCTGATTTCCGAAAGAACTTACTAAACCACGGTTTTCAAGCACAGCAACCATTCTGCTATCTCTTCTTTGATTGATTCATCTGTGGTTTCCGGTTGTTCTTTTCCTCTCATTCTACATTATTACTTCTTAATAATTGTATCATCCAATTTCATTCTCAACTGTTTTTAGCTCTCGTTTCTCTCAATAAACATCTTAGTAGCTTAAAAATCTTTTTAGAAATTTTTTCTCCCACCGTCCCACCCTCTGATTGGGGGACTTCGTTATCTTACAGTCATTTAAGAAGAGCTTGCCCCAAATTCCCCGCCAATTCGCTTGAGTTTTGCGGGCAATTTGGGGCAAGCTTTTCTTAAATGACTGTAATTGTAGCCACCCCATTGGGCTTTCGGCATTTCTCTCTGCAATTTCGAGTCAGACCCTCCGGGGCCGTCCTACGTTAAATCAGTAGCGTTTGTTGAAAACTCTAAGTCTGTGACAAACCTCGCGCCAATACAATTCCACAATTTTCTTTCTAGTCCAGATCCAAAAGGTTTCATACTCCAATCAAATTGTAGACCTTCATTCTGACTTCTATTTCATTTTTTTCATTTACATCTTTTTAGATTTCTGAATCTTTCATTCTTCACATACTGTTTTGCTTAATTTTTTCATATCTCGAATCTTTAATTATCAAGTCATATACTAAAAATATAATCAAACAGATCAGATAGGTCCTACACTCTTTGTTAGATCATAACTATGCTTTAAACTTATGGAAGGTGGAAATACTCTTTGCCTTACAGTCACACCAAAGGGATTGTAAAATCATCAAGTTTTTTTTTCATATGATCTCTTGAATCAAACATTCCTTCTATATAATTCACATCTGAAGCCTAAGGCAATCCCTTATCAAAGAAGATCAGTTTTCTGTCCTAAATCTTTACTTACTTCATTTTGATTAAAAGGATCAATTTGATTGATCTGTATCAATGAATCTGTTCTTCTTTTATCATTCTCCATCATCATCAACTTTCACGCTTTGTATTCTGAATTCATACACTCTATTTTTTCCAAAGCATATGACCAAAGAAAAATTCTCGATAGTTTTACATAAAAATTCTCATATCAAAATATAAAAAACAAATATATGTATATAGAAAAGACGTATATATATCTAACAAAAAAAAATGATAAACAATTCATAACGCAAAAAAAAGGAATTTAAAAAAAAAATACAAACTCAAGAGTTCAATATATATGTATAACTTTTCAAACCTTTTGACCAATCTTAACAAACGGATCAGGTACATCAAACGAATCATTGGTGAAATTAGTTAATCTATTATTCATCTCTTTATTCAAATTCAATTCTAGATTTGCATTTTGATGTTGATGTCGAGTTAAGTTTTTTTGACTCAAGGTTCTAATCGGAACTGGTGTTCGGTTTGGTAGCTTCCTTGGTAAGTATCTATTCTTTGGTAACGTAGTTGCTGTACTTGTTGTAGTCGTAGTAGATGGGTTCTTATCACTCCCTTCCTTGGTTCTTCCTAGATTCCTTTCTTTAGGTACTTGAATTTCTTTAGGTACTGAAATTTCTTTAGGTACTTGAATGTCTTTGAGTGTTTGATTGATTTTTTTAGTAATTTCATCTTCAGAAACTGTAGATGATTGTAAAACAGTCGAAGGGTATTTAGAAGAAAGTTGTTTCTTTGATTCTTTAAATAAATTTAATTCTTCAAAACTTTGTTCGGTAGTAGCGATTTGTGAAACGATTCGTTGTACTGAACTTGGTCGATCCGAAAATTTACTAAACAAAAAAAGCAAAAAAAAAACAATCATCAGTCTCTTTCAAAGGTTATGTAGGTTTGTTTTGGTTTACTTACGCATCCATTTGGGGTCCGTTTCTGATCACTACTTCTTCTGGAAATTGAAGATCAAGATGTGATGGAAATCTCATGGTCTGACTCTCATCAGGATCAAATGACGAATGTCCCAGACGATAGACCGGAGATCCGAGTTGTTCTTCTTCTTCTGCTTCTCCTTCTCGAGGTGGATCAATTGAGATTTGCATCGAAAGCGATAAGAACTCTTCAATAGCAAGTGGTTCTTGTTCGTTATGATGATTCACTTCCATCGAACTAGGTAAATGATATTGAGCTCTACTTTGGATATCGTCTTGATGGATCGCATCAATTGATTCCATATGGATAGGTATATGATATTCTTCTCTAGGATGTGATGGTTGTTGAATTGGATGATTAGACATGTTTATAGAGATAGGTAAGTCATATTGGTTTGGTATATAATCTTGGTTTCTTGAATGTACGTCTGGTGATTGAGATGAATGGTCAGTAACTTGTAAAGGAATAGGTAACTCTTGATCAATTCTACCATTGTTTTGATTATGTACATTAAGATCATGATGATGAAATCGATTGAATGAAGAAATACTCGTATGATGAGAATTTCGTTGAAGCCGATCAAATCTTCTTGGAGAATGAGAATGAGTCGAATGATTTGAATCTATATGATTGATCTTAGGATAATCATGTTCTTGAATTCCAATCGGAAAAGGAGTTCCTCTAAAATGATATTCATCTACTTGATTAGTGATTGGTATATTTGATGGATTAGGTATCAGTGTAGAATTGATAATCGGATTATTAAAAAACGATTCATGATTCTTTAATTTGTTGGCTTTTTGTTTTCGACGATGAAAATATAAACAAACGAGTGGTACAAGACTAAAGATCAAGATCAATCCTATCACAATTCCAATGATCGCACCAGTCGGAAGTAAGGTCTCATTCGATTCTGATGCTCCATGATGAAAGGGTGCTTCAATCGATGGTGTGGATTGTAATTGAGAAGTAGGAGGTACAAATGTATTGACTGGAATCGGATTGATAGAACCAAGACTGGTTGGTAAGATGGTTTCAGGAGTATTCAAAGGTTGTGAGTGTAAGGGTGAGATGGTTGAAGTTGAAGTAGGAATTGGTTCTGGATTGGGTTGAATCTGAGTGTTCGGATTGATTGGATTGATTGGATTGATTGGATTGATTGGATTGATTGGATTGATTGGATTATGAATAGGTGTGATGATTGGGGCAGTTGAAGGGACTGGAACACGATTAGGTACAGTTGGAATAGGCGTAGTGATGGGAGTAGTAGCCAGAGGAGTAGTACTTGGATTAGAAAAGAAACCACCGGCTTGTGGAGTGTTACCTACCACTTGACCAGCATGATTACTGACAGAAGCAGGATCAGCAACAGATAAGAATACATTCAATCTAGATAAAAGATTAGGATGAAGTGGATGATTTGATGAATCGATTTCTGATTCCCTTTCTTTTTCTTTTTCCCATTCGATTTCTAATGTTCTTTCTTGGTTGGAATTACTTAAACTATGATGTTGATAATTTAACTGAGCGGAAGAAGCTGATGATGAAGAAGAAATGGATGGATGAAGAAGATAAAATAAAAATAAAAAGTAATGATGAATTGATTTGATGATTGGTTTACAAATTTGATGTAATAAGTTTTGATTTTGTGAATGACCAGCATAGAACATGATCATACATACCGGATGAATGATGAAAGAAATTATAATCAAACAAAATCGTAAATTCAATAATCGTAAATCACAATCAAATCCTCTTCGAGAGAATATTGTTGTGAGTTTTCGGAAAGAGAAGAACAGAACAGACTGTAAGGTGAGATTGATGGAAAGACTAAATAAAAGTGAGATGCTGATGATGATGATGATTAAAAACCTATTCGAACTGGTCTGGTGGTTGTTAAACTTACGTTCACAAGAACTATCTGGATGAAATTTCGAAATCTTCATCACCGTAAGAAGATTTATCGAAACAGGGAAACAGCCAGGTTGATCACTTGATGGTGTTTTTGTTGAATGAGCTCTTTCGGTAAATCCTCTTGCCAGCACTTCAAAGCAAGAGCCAAAAAGAGTAATCTGTAACCGAATGAAGATAATCCATGGTGTGCCTAGTGACAAGCACGTCTACCACAACAAACACGAAGGAACCAACTTCACAAGCAATAAGTGATCAATGTTTCACAAGAAGAAGTCGTGTATAAGAGTGAAAGAAATTGAAAGAAATTGCCAATCGATGCAGCAAGGTGCTAAATAAGAATGTCGTGCTTATCAACAGATGGAGATCCTGAAAGCTCTTTATTGATTGAGAAATCAATCAAAAGTTCTTGAAGTAAAGAAGTGCCATCCACACATGATCAATTCTCAGTAGGACGCTTACGCAGAGAAGTCAAGCTCAAAACCTCACCTCACTTGATTATGTGTCCGGTATCCCTTATCATCTCTCATCATCTTTCTCTCTTTCAGAAGTGAATGAACATAACAAAGTCATCCCTCACTGTAAAAAAATTATGGGAGCTTCCTTGCGAGCCTTTTACACATCTCCCTACTCAGGATTAGCACATGGTCCAAAGGGAAAAGTTGTGCACATTTCTCTGTCGCACATGATTCATGTTTTTCTCACCAAAGAAGATGAGTCTCTCTTACCTACAAAGCGTCTTGAGAATTGGGTTTTTACAGTATACTAGAGAATAGACGGGCCCGCCCGCTACCCAAGATGTCCTCACACAGACCTTACTATCACCTTCATCACCGACTATGGCACAATAAATTTGCAAGCCAGCTAAGGGTTTTAAAGAATTGGGTAATCATTGATATCATGTATCAAAATAAATGCTTTTGTATTAAACATAAGAGGTAGACTGGGATAAATTTAATTGTTCTCAGAAACCCTCATCAACACCATTTCTGGAATACCTTCAACTAGGATCTGGAAGCAATACATATATTTGGTATCTGGGTGTGATATGCATACAGGACCTCCTTCAACAATTGGGTGTTCCCTTCCCTCCTAATCACAGGGGCCAAAAACAGAGCTCACGTAGAGGTGAGCATGAAAAGCCTTCCATATTTGTTCAAAAAATAATCATTTCCATCTATCCTTTCATGTCACAATTTTTTGTTGTGTTCAGGTGATCAGCATGCAAAATTTAAGTTTGCTCAAGTTTGCTCAAGCATGCTCATCTTCATCTTGATTGAGCATTCCAAATGAGCATTTCTTGAGCATAGATGAGTACTCAGGAATCAGCTGGCACACCTCCACATACTCAGAATTGTGCCCATTATAGTCAAGCCTTTGAAATTGTCTGTACATACTGAGCGTTCAGTCAGGGCCTGAGATGACCTGAGCAGATCTGGTAGCCCTCCCTCAGGCTCCTTGGCTGAGCAATAAAGTCTGAGGAAGCCTGGCTCATCTGCTCAGCTCTCAGCTCATGTTGAGCCTTTGTTATTACATGATCAACATGAGCTGAACACAGTCAGTTTTGGAAGGAAAAAAGTAGAAAACTTGGAGAAAACCTGAAGCTTTTCATGCTCACCTCTATGTGAGCTTTTGTTTTGGACTCTGTGAATCTAGACACACCATTGCACATCAATGAGACTTGACTTTATATTTTGTTGGCTACTTATGTCCTAAGAGCCTCTCTAATAGTTTTCCAATGAAATGTTCCCCCCACTGCAACAGGTAATGAGACCATGTCTTTCCACTCATTGTTTTTGCATCATATCACTTTGAAAAGGATTTGCTATCTCAAAGCACAGATTATTCACATATAACAAAAACATTATACCATCAATTTTGATTCACAAGATTGATAAGAGTCTGTTACTCAAGGATATATATATTGAAATGTGACTACTGTTTGTAAAGAATTGATGGTGATTCAAACTGATTTATCTTGTTCCCTACCTCTCTTTATATGTCAAGTCAAAGATGGTATTGTTTCATTTTTAATTATTATACACTTTTGTAGGCAACTGTCTTTTATGCACCTAGCTGCATTTCTACTCTATCCGCACCTTGAAGCCATCCTCTGCAAAACCACATAAGGCAGCAATTCATACCTGCGAAATGTCAACATTTGCCAATTCAATTCATTTCTCATTGACTTCAATTTATGGTGCTTTTCACATTCATGATTTTGTCAACAATGTGTGTTACAAATGATGTGCTCAAAGTATGAAGCCAAGACCCTGCAACTGTTCAACACACCCATTAAGATGTAGGGTGAAGGCCATTGTAAGTAGTAGGATGAATTTGCATTTTGAGAGTTTGATGAAGGTGTGACAACACCTGAACGCTCAGCTTCGCCCCGCTTTCTGGCCGAAATTTTGTAGCGCGGCGGTTTTGCGCTACATGTAGCTCAGCCAGCGCTCCGCTTTCAAAAGAGGAGCGCTACATACGCAAGGCGGCGGGGCGGCTCTCTGAGCCGCTTTCGCTCCGCTTTGTCGATTTCTCAGCTGAGACAGCGGCACGGTACGATCTTTTATTCACAATTTTTTTTATTAATTATGCACAAGGAAAAAAACATATATACAAAATATATAAGAGGACTTTAAAAAATGTAAGACATATAAAGAAACGCGTAAAGAGTGACTCGAAAAGATATTAGACGACAAGTTTGAGAAAATTGGAAACTAAAAAGAACCGTAAGGAATGACTTGAAAGATTAATAAGATGAGAGAAAAAAATAATAGAAAAACATAACCGGGGTCAAGATGTACGTTGACCCCATTATAAACTATCAAATGAATCGAATCAGGATGAACGAGTGACAATATAAGATACGGCGAAAACATAAGTGAGACTAGCAGATGATAACAAGAGAAGCAGGTTGATTCACGAGAGAATAAAGGACAATAAAGTGAAAACAAATTAATCAATGACTATGACATTTTTCTTCTTCTTTGAGTGTTTTTCAAAGGAAGAAAGGTAACTGAGAGCTTCAGAGAACTTGTCACTTGTTGTGATACCCGCTCTCAACCATTCTCGCGTGCCTACAGACCGCGAGATCGTTTTCGGTTTCAAAGAACCTCGTCCTGGAACTGCGATGTCAGCTGCCGAAGAGAACGTTCGTTCCACGCAACACGACGTAGCCGAGATCGAGAGGTAGTCGCGCGCCAACGAAGCAAGCACCTGAAATTTCGAACCGTTTACCTGTTAGAATGGAGACAAAGCCAGACATACATCAGTGGATATTCTACAGGTCAGTGAGTGAAAAGATGAACTGTGGACTTACTTTCCACCACCCCAATTGAGATTGACCAGGACTGATTGGCTCATTTCCGTGTAAGTACATCTCGAGTTCAGATGCTCGGATTGATTCAGGTGAGCGAAGGACGGCAGATGATGTGAATACGTCGAATTGATCAAATACCTCCTGGGGGGTAGAAGAGGGAATCGGTGAAGGGGAAGAGACAGGGGTAGCTGGCCAGCTTTCCAAAGTCTTATTGAAATACTCTTCAATAAGATCCTTAGCTTGTGAAGCATGTTGTGGGTAGTGCAGGTCAAAGAACTTTAGTCGGTACTTGGGGTTGAGGACAGTCGCCAAGACTATCACATCGGCATCAATGGCTTCGGACTGGTATCGGTGGAGCTGATCCAACATCGAGTCAATCATCGAGTGGAGAGTGGGGAAGTCGGTGGTGTTCTTGATGTCCGATAGATTTTCATGCACTCTCAGATACTCCGCAAGAAGCATTGATCCTGATGCAATGTCACCCTCCAAACGTTTAGTCGAGGCACGAAAAATCTGCAATATAAAAACATGAATCAGCTAAATGAAATTGAAGAAAGGAACAAAAGACAAGTATATGTTGGAAGAAAGGTCAGGGAAATACTCACTTCTAATATCTTACATAAAGAGTCAACAGCATCCCATTCGTCCATAGACATCATGATACCTTCATAGTATCTAGTTTTGCGATCACTTATAAGAATTGAATCCACCACCTAGAAATCATCGTGGGTCAGTTCTCCATATCTTTGGCAAAGAAAGAAAAATCAAAAAACTTACATCGCGTGCAGCTACAAGGTGTGAGTACATAGCCAAATCTATGTTCCAGCGCACACCCCAACCAGCGATAGGTCCAGGGCCATGGTAACCCATCTGCTCAGCTCGGCCTTTGAATTCTCCTCGCCTGGCGTTGCTCCGGGTGAGCAATGCGTTGAAATGCTTTAACTGTGGAACAAAGACAGAAAAAGTCAGTTCAAGAGATCAATAGACAAAGGAGGAGGTAAGGGATAATAAGAAACTCACTTTCATCGCACCCTTGACTACAATACAACCATCCTGTGGGATGTCATTGTATGACAGGTCATCCTCTTCGTCATCGGAACCGGTATTAGGGGAGTTACAATGACCACGGGAATTGATGATGTCGTCCTCATCGTCGGAGCAATCGTAGTTGATTGCTTCATCGGTGAGATCATCGTTCAAGACAACGGTAGGAACTGGTACAGAGAAATTGGGGGGGGTGGTGGGTTTGACATGACCAGCAGCTAATCCGATCACCTTGAGGCCTTTCTTGACAATCAATCCAAGTTTGTGCGCGTAGCATCGGACGTGATTTTTTGAGGAGTCCCAATCGGTTGGGTCGTCACTTTCAGAAAACATAACCTCCATCTCCCGTGCCATCGTGTTGTTGGACGACCCAGAGTCGGTGGTCTGGCCTAACATGTAAACAAACAAAAGGAACAAAAAGAAAGAAAGAAAGTTAGTTGAAGGCGGATGAAACAGAAAGAAAGTAGTAGGACTTATTTTTTTGTGAAGTCCGTGAGCTATGAGGAAACGCGCCACCGGTTGCGCCAGTAGATACCCGTACTTATTCCATGCTACCAGCTTCAAGCTAAGATGAATTGACCGATAGTTCCATTCGTCATCAATGAAGTTTGCAGAAACCCCGATGAAGGCATACCTGTTACCTTTGGTGGTCCACACATCATGGACCAACGAAAACTTGCCAGAGTTTTCCTGAAACAGAACAAGAACATTAAATGAGCAAGTTATATTGGATTAAATAGAGAGAATGAGATGCAAAAAATATATTGGGCACTTACAGATACTAACGCTATCGCCGCTGAGCTCAAGCTAAGGTACAGGTCCTTTGCAACACCAGCAGCCCAAGTAGGAGTCCTGAGTTCGGCGCGTCGATTAGCAAGTTTGAAAGCAGCACGTAGGGGAATGTCATAGAAACGGTTGAATGGAAGGGCATGTTTCATTATCCACATCACCAATACCGTGTTGCATAAGTCAACACTGAAGGTTGACGATGAGAGAAACGAGTCGAGTGTCATTTGACCGCTTGGTTGGTTCGAAGCCAAGGCTGCTTGCTCCTGAGCCCAAGTGAGAGGAAGAACACATCCTGCCCTGATGGCACGAGATCTATCAGGGCAGCAGCATCTACCCTTACTGCCATCCCGGTGAGCGTAGAGGTTGTAGAAGGTACGGAAGCCTCGGATGAACACAACCGAACACCAACGACATCTGTATCCTCGGGGATCGTCTCCAGTCTAGAAAAAAAAAGGAAAATGAATGAAGGGAAAAATGATTAAATAAAGAAGTTAGAAAGCAAATATGGAAATGAAAAACTAAGATCGAGTGGAAACCTACCTCATTTTTGACATGAACTGGAGGACAAAAGTACTCCAACAAAATGGCAAGCCGACCTTTGTGGCGCTTGACCCCCTCGGTTTTGATCTCCTCGACATCTGAGTCCTGGTTGACATCAACACAGTCGGGTATCCCGACCTACAGTCATCAGAACAAAATGAAAATAGAGAAGACAAATGTTAGTCTCACTGATAACACAAGGGTTGGGAAAGAGGACTTACGGGTACAATGGCCTTTTTAGGCTTCTTGACTGGTGCTTGGGGCAAGCCTTCAGAGGCACCAGAACCTCGTGGACGACCCTTGGGCTTGGCCTTGGCACGAGTCTTGGAGCTGACCTTGTGTTTCAAAACTCGAGCTGGAGACCTCTTCTTTTTCTTCTTCGAGAGAACCTTGAGAAAGTCTTCGGCTTGAGTTACTTCAACAACTGAATCAGAGTCCGGTAGACCTGAGTTGGTATTGGGATCATAAAGATCCGAATCCATATTAGGTAAGTCGCTTTCACTTGAAGGTCGATGAACAGACAGTCGCGAGTCGGGGGACTGAATAACATAACCAGGTTTAGGACCGGTTGGGCTACGTGGACGAAGACTAGGACCAGAACGCGATGAAGGAGCAAGACTAGATACGGATTGAGACATTGTGATGATTCTAATGTTTATTTTTAATGATAATAAAATCGATGATCGAAAAAGATATCAATCGAAAAAGATATCAAAAGAGATAACAAGTTGACAAATAAGTCAGTTTTCAATGATATAAGAATATATATTGGTGACGATTTGCCTAAGGAAAAGGGAAGAATGAGAAAGAGAACGAGAGCTCACCTTATATAGACTCGAACAGGGTCTGATCGGCCGGCACAAGAAACTATAAGGATAAGGAAAGAGGGTAATGTCGTCTTGTTGGCCTTCAAAGATGAGAAATCAAATCTAACTTGAGGGCATTGACATATCGAAGAAAAGTTGAGATCAAAGGCCTTTGTTGACTGATGGATATGGGGTGTTTGATGGGTACAAGGGTGAATAAACATCGGTCTTGGCGTATTCCAGAGATTTGGGAGGTGTTTGGTGGACCTGCGAGGCATTCGAGAATGAATTCGAGATGTTCGTTGGGGTGGAAATGCAGCCTGATGTGACTGATATCAATCAAGATTCGCGTCAATCAGGCCGCGTACATAGATCGCTGCATACCGCTCTATGCAGGTCCTGCGAGGCGGAACTTTATGGCGCCTCGCTAAATTCGCGATCCGCTTTGAGAATAATCTGGCGGTGAGAGCGCAAGCGGATCGGGTATGCTGGCTACCCGGGAATGTCTTGAGCGGTGGCGGGGCGGTCCGCTCCGCTGCCGCCCCGCCACCGCTTTTTGTAGCTGAGCGCTTCAGGTGTTGCTAAGACTCAGAACTTCAAACCGGTCAGCAAGGCATCTGAAGCCTTCACTTCGACCGGTGTTAGCCGCACTCAATATTTTTGGAGTCATCTAAACACTGAAATATGCTTGAGATTATATTGTGTGGGACCAATAAAGGCACGCATTGGTGCAAGTGTCCACTAGCTGCATTTCACTAGGTAACATGGGATACACATGTCACGAATATTGTTACGAAGTCGAAAGAGGAAATATACAAAATTTTCCTAACTTCGTAAGAAATTCCTCTACAGCTTCTTCAAAGTATTTGATTCAAGAAGTACATTCTTGATCAACATCTTTTAGCCTATAATTTTTAGATACCTTCCCCCCCACCCTACAAAATTGCTAACGAAGCCATCCTTTCAATCAGGGCACAGAGGTGACCTTGTGGGTTGAAAACGAACAAGTTGGGAACACAAACCAACTTGTTGGTTTCGTCGAACTAAGCTTTTGGTTTAAGGGAACCAAAAGTTTGGTTTTAGAAAACCAAACTCAAGGCCCCCTTCGGGTGCTTTCCCATACCACGCTTACCTCACCACGAGGCAAGGTAAGAGCAAGGATGGTGATTGCAAAATCACATAACATGTAATGATAAAACATGTATACCTAAAAGATAGCTTTGAGAGTGGACAGAAAAGAAAATTTTCAAAAATTAGGCAAATCATTTCTGTGAAAAGATGGGATCAGCATCCAAATTTCTTTTGGATAATCTCAGATCAGAATGGTGGACATCCATTAGCCAAATCATGTCTGAAAAAAACTGGTATCAGCATCCAAATTTCTTTTGGATAATTCAAGCATTTTGGGGCAAATGGACTTACATTGTGCAAAGAATTTGATGTTTTGAGGCAGAATGATGATTTAGTTTGGGAAAGAAGAGCTTTTGGTTATAAGGATTGTGGCTTTTGATTCCATTTCATGATGTATTTATGGTGTCAGCTGGCAAACAAAGATCAAAAAAAGTGCAACATTTTTTTCAAAGACTCAACAAGCCTTGGGTCAGAATCTCTAGCCAAATTTGGAGATTTTCACAAGATTGATGTCTCTCATTTCATTCATCTCATTTGGACTGATGTACATACCTAGGGTACACAAACATTGCTGGAAATTTTCAGACAACTTTCTCCAGAACACCAGAAAGTTGTTTTTTGGTGTGTTCTGACATTCTGGAGTTCTGCAACTTCAAAAGGCTCACATTGTGTGTTTTCCACACCAGAAGGTTTCTGGTGTTCTGGAAAAAGTTGTCTGGATATTCCCAGGAAAATATTTGTGTTCCCTCAATAGTCAAAATCATCAACATGGCCATGTATCAAAAATCAACTTGATCTAATCATGCTCAAAATCCTAGAAACTGGTTGCTGCAAGTGATTTTGGTGTAATAAAAAGCAGCCAACCTACGTAGGCTGAAATACTCTAGAGCTTGATGATGGCATTCCAATGCAATTTTCCAAAGTTGAATTACACAAAAAAATTACATATATGTATCTTTGGGCTCTCAGACTTATGCTACCCTAATTAGGCTAGCCTAAGTCAAGAGTACTGTTGGGGGTGCATGAGCCATGAGGCGTGCTGGGGCCATTGCAGGGTGCACCGTCACCGTGCTATTGCTATGACCCTGCGTGGTTTGGCAAGTGCCTGAAAGACCCGCAGAACTCGGTCGTAGCGTACTGGGATGGTGGGTGGATCGAAAAAAGAAAAGAAGGTTAAGCTCAAGATTAAGCTTCACTAGATGGGAAAGCTTGTCTTTCCTGCAAACTATGGAGGCGGGAAAGCGGTTGGAACGGCTGTGTCATCCATCTTGTGCTTGGTAAGCGGGTCCTATGAGTATTTCACCTTGCCATCGGCACAGGTCGGCACAGGTCGGCACTAACTAGATACAAGGAGTAACTAGCTAGAGTTAACTTCCAATTCATCCTTCTTTCTAGATCCATTGAAGAAGACGATGTTGCTAGCTTAACAAGGTCAAAAAGTTCTTGCGTCAATCGCCATGATGTGTCAATCCATTGCCAAGCTTTCTAAACCATTGATTTTGTATTCCGGAACCAAGACCATGGAACTTATATGATCACACACTTCAAGAGTTCTATTTCGCTCAAATCGTATCTGAACAATTTCCAAATGAAAGAGAGATATGAGAATGATTATCAATCCATTCAGTTTCTAGATTAGACCAGCTTAGTTTGATTTGTATAAGCTGATTGACTCGATCATACGAACCGAAGTGAAGTTCAAAAATCATTTATCTCTAAGACTATCACTTACGCAACCGATAAGAACCGATAAATGAAAAACAATCAAGATTGGATTCATCATGATCTTTAACGGTAACTTGGTTTGAATGAAGGAAGACTGTCTCTACGGAAAACCGAGGTTCAAACCGAAAGCTTTACTACGCACCACTTGGTTTTGAATTTATTTTTTCCCTTCAACGACTTTGGTAATTTCTCTTCTTTCCTCAAGATCCTTCTCAATTTTACATATCATTCGAAGATAAATCAATCCAATAAGATCTACTCTGATTCTAAGAGGGCTTCCATTCTTAGAAGATATCTAGAGAATTGAAGATTCGATTTTGAGTGTTTGACTTTGATTTACCATTTTAAGAAATTCATTCGATTAGGTACATGCCACTTTAAAGTCAAATCCATCAATTTGTTCATACAAAACTTATCATTTGTGATTAACAAACAGATTCACCTCTTATAGAAATAGAAATAGAACGTTCTTAATTCCAAATTCATCTCTTTGTTCTTCTTTCTTCTCCAAACCCATCAGATTACACTGGATTATCAATAACATCAATAATTCACCATCAACACAACAACTCAAATAACAAAATGGCATTCAATTCAATCATTCAAAGATTTCGTTCACATTATAATCAAAAATCAAATTGTAAAAAAACTAACTCAAGTCGATCAAATCCAATCAAACGAAATCCATCCAACTCAAACAGAAAACCATTCTCAAAGAAGCATACAATCACATCACAGTCACAGCCATCATCAATTCCAATTCCAATCTCAAATCAACCTATCCTGAGTTCTAATTTTGTAGAAGAACATTTGAATTCATCAACTTTACCATTACCACCATTATCATCATCTCACAATCATTCAAGCTTATCACTCAACACTAATTCTCTGACGTCTAAAGTTGTTCCTACTATCACTAATATCTCCAGAACTGCTCCTTCTACTCCTGTGACCGCCAAATCTTCTCATATTCCTCATCACACTGATCATCTTGAAACTAGTTCTCATTTAATCAACTCTTCTTCAACCTCACATTTATCACATCTATCAAACCCAAATCATTCTCATCACGATAGTTCATCTAGTGAACTTTCTTCTCCTACTAGTCCTACTGCTACTTCTGTTCCTTCTCATGATTCTACACATTCATTCAAAGTTACAAAGAACACGAAACGTCCAACATCTCAAAGTCGAGTTAAAGATGAGCTAATTTCGAAAGATTTGGATGAATTGAATACCAAACTTCGTCCTCAAGCTTCGAAATCTAATTCGTTTTGGAAAAGAATGAGTAAAAGTAGTACTTTGATGCAAATTAACAAGAAATCATCGAACGAATCAACTGATAAACTTGATATGATCTCTCAAAGAGAGCAACCAGATCCAACAAAACAAATCGATCAAGAAAATGTACAGTCAGAACGAGTTAAATCTACTTCGAATTTCAATGAAATGGGACTCAATTCACAAACTTTGGGATCGGAACCTCATCTCACCCCACAAAGTTCATTAAATCCTAATCAACCAATTATAAATTTAACAGGAGTAGGAACTCGAAACCGAAACAGTTTTCAAAAACTACCGACAAGTTCAAGTTACACGGAACTTTCAAATCACAAACGACACAGTAGACCATTATCAAATTATTCACCTATCAATTCATCACCTCTATCTACTCAAACTAGTTTACATCAAGATCAAGATTTCAGTAAACTTCAAAGACCTACACTTCGAAATATGGATAAACGTTCAAGTTATTCTTCAAACAGATTGAGTATTATTCCAGATGGATCACTTACTTCTTCGGATGATTTAATGAAACTTTTAAGAGGTCCTTCTCCTTATCCTATGGAGTTAGTCTTTTTTTGTCTTGTTTCGATGATTATTGCATGAACCTAATTGATTTTCTTTCCTTTTTTTGATGTAGAGCTCAACCTCAATTCTTTTCAAATTCGGCTCCAAATTCTAGACCTGTTTCTCGTCAAAGTAGATTGATTCATGAAATTTGATCGTTTTTTTTGTGTTTCTCTTTAACTTTCAAACCGAGTTTAATCTTTTTTTACCTGTTTTCATAAAAAGATTTCTTAACTTAATCCTTTTTTTTCATCACTTCGTTTTTACCTTTTACATTGTTTTCTTTTCTTTTCGAAATATGTAAGTATCATGACTGCCTATTTTGTTTTTCTCTTTTTTTTGTATATTGTCATGTTGCTTGTGTGATTTTTTTTTGTAAAAACCTTTTTTTTTTGTGTACGACTTTGTAAATTGTTTTTCTTTTTTTGGATCATTCAACTTTAAAATTTTTCTAGAATGATTGCAATTTTGTGATTTTCTTTTACATTCGTTATTCCACAACCTGCAACAAATTCATACATAGGACTTACACCCCTTACCAAAGAATAGGCTACATGCTACACATCTGTTTTTGAATGGTTGGTCAATTTATGCAAGGTTTCTGGAGATGTGCACAATGGAAGGCTATGGAGGCATGGCGGAAAAAGTTGTAGCAGCATTAGAGAACAGCTCATCAAGCTTGAAGTCAGCAGAATTGTATGAAAGGCAAGCCAGCCAGATCTTACCATCTCATACAAGTATGGACATGGCCAATCTCATTACAGATTCATGTCCTCAACAATCAATTCAACACCATCTCCTACTAGCATGCTGGAACCAGGCCTCTCCAACACATCAAGCCCTATTCCAGGACAAGCACACATCACACCGCGGGAATTGACTCGTTTGAAACCCGAATGAGCGGAATTTCGGTGTCCGGGTTCGAAATTTCCTCGAATCAAGAAACTCGTTCACAACTCGTTAACATTACGTTCGCCGATTTCCCTCGAGTACACTACTGTCGTTCCCAAAATGCTTGCCACATCGACCATTTTTCAATCGAGCTGGCGGTCCGTGCGCGCTGTCAGAAACAGACAAGAGAAGTGATCACGCAAGAGGAAAAGAACCTCCCTGTCACAAGATTCCATAGCCTTGAAAGAGAGAGAGGGAACCCTCTTTTTGGAAACCCCGACATGAGAATTTTTCCTCTTTTCCTCGCCCTCTTCCTCTTCCCATTCATCATCCACATCATCACATCATCACATCATCAATTTCAAGAATCTCATCAAATACGGTCTCGAACCAGGTATAGCTATAGCAAACAGTGGATACACGACTTCTCACTACTGGGATCAACTCAACTCGAGGTTTGATAATTAGTCTTGATTTCAATTTTAACCGATCAGATTTCTACAAAACTGTTCTCTCTACTCGGGATGAGGGTTCCGCACAAGGAAATGCTTCTTTCTTTTTGTAAAATCGTTGGATAACCTTGATTCATGTTTTTGATAACAATCAACCGCATGTCTTCCTTACCTTGTTTCTTTTTGGTGATAACAAACGACCAACAATTTTCATTTGAAGAAGAAACTTTGTAAAATTTCATCTCTTAAAGAATAACAAGCTCTTTGAATTTTTGATATCATAAAATCAACATACGTCCTTCTTCTCGTCTGGCTTGAGAACTGATATATATAAGCTTCCGATCATCTTCATAAAGATGAGAAAACCTTTGACTTTAGGTCTATTATCAAATGTTTCAAAGCTTTGATAACATTGGACCAAGTTTGATGTTAAGAACTCGCCAATTGATTGACAAACTTGGAGAAACATATCTATCACTTTCTCGTTTTGACGATCGATTAAAATTTATAAAAAGAGGACAAATCACATTTTAATTTCAATGACAATCCAAAATCGATTGAACTTTTGAATAACAAGGCAAATTCAAAATCGATCGATAAACATTTTGAAAAAGAAGACCATCCACATTTGTATTTCAATGACAATCCAAAATTGATGGAATCTTTGAATTACAAGATAAATTACAAGTTCTTTTGTAAGATAAATGATCGATCGATCATTTTTCAACACGATTTTCAGCAAAACTTTCTACTCGACACAAGATCAAAGGTGAAGTCAAAGAGCCCATAACCAACAATTGAGCAAACAAATTCATTTCCATTCAAGTGTTTATTGCGAAGTTAAAAACTCTTTAAAACGATAATCAAAAATCAAAAATTGTATCACAAGGACTTGAGATTTGATACCATTATTAATGATTTTAAGTGTAAGTGAAAAAAACCACGGTTCTTGGGAGTTTTGAGCACAGGGAATCGAATCTGTTCAGTGGTTTGGAGTTGACTGAATCGAATGAGATATGGAGGTTGTTGGAACCGGGAAGTGCTGCTTTGATGGCGGTCCTGAAAAGCTTGTTCGCAATTTTCTTTTTCTAAATCATTGTATGTAATAATCTCTGGCGTAGTACATGAGATCAAAAGCTATACGTGGTTCGAGACCGTATTTGACGAGATTCTTGAAATTGATGATGTGATGATGTGGATGATGAATGGGAAGAGGAAGAGGGCAAGGAAAAGAGGAAAAATTCTCATGTCGGGGTTTCCAAAAAGAGGGTTCCCTCTCTCTTTCAAGGCTATGGAATCTTGTGACAGGGAGGTTCTTTTCCTCTTGCGTGATCACTTCTCTTGTCTGTTTCTGACAGCGCGCACGGACCGCCAGCTCGATTGAAAAATGGTCGATGTGGCAAGCATTTTGGGAACGACAGTACTACATACACATACACAGCACTTTCAAAACCTCCAATTCCAACCGTTCAAGTATCTCACCCCTCATCATGTCCCCACCCAACTCCTTTCTTTTTTCATGGTTGATCAAGGCTTGACAAATGAAGGTGAAGGTGAGGAATGGTGAAAGGGTTTGTTGTTGTATCATGTGACTGTACATACACGGGGCCAGCAGAGTACAGAGTACAGCCCAAGGGAAATTGGCAAACCTATTGCAAACGAGTTGTGAACGAGTTTCTTGATTCGGGGAAATTTCAAACCCGGACACCAAAATTTCACTCATTCGGGTTTCAAACGAGTTGTGAACGAGTTTCTTGATTCGGGGAAATTTTGAACCCGGACACCGAAATTTCACTCATTCGGGTTTCAAACGAGTTAATTCCCGCGGTGTCATGTGCATGCTGGGCTAGACTGCAGAAAAAAAATCACCAGCTAGAATGTTTCACATTTGAGTCAACAAAGGCTTTAGAACACTTTTGCCCTCAAGGACAACAAGCCCAGGGCAAATCTTGATCAGATTCCATGACCTGACAAGCAAGTATGCAAACACACAGATCACACAGAAGATATCCAACAGGATGACCATAGTGACAGAGAAGACCAACAAGAAGCACAAGACATTCCTGATCTGACAAACTACCATCAAATAGGACCACAGGTGGGGTGCGGCACATGCAGAACACTACTTCTCCACCTCAACACACCAAAAAAAATACAGTCAAACCCGCGCAAATGCATCCCTGTGCAGGTGCATAAGTTTAACCCGTGATAATGCATAGGAAAAATCCAGAATCTTGATGCTTTTTACTGCCAAATTTGACAACAGAAATGCATAACCCATCAAAATGCATAGCAAAAGTCTTCCACCCAAATTATGTGTTTGTGCAGGTTTGACTGTAGACCAACTCCAATCGGCCTCTTCAAAGCTCAAGTGCTGCAATCAGCCTGAACCTACAATTTGGACAAGTTACTGCTCTGTATTGTACTTGAGTATAGCCAAGAAGTGCTCAAAAAGGGCTTGAACATCATTTAAAACACATACACTCTTGGTCCTCATTTACTTTATCATTTGCTCACTCAATATTTGCAATTGCCTTGTAGATTGAAAGGTCCACTTGCTTGTCAACCCAACAAGTATACCAATTATCAGACTTACATTGTAGCCTCAACCACCACCAAAACCAAGCCATTGAATTCCTTACCTCCCTCTCCACCACATGATAGCCAGAAAACCCTTGCCATATTTTTGTGTTTTATTGCTAGTACCACCAAATGGAGCTTCCAAGGTCTTTACGTAGCAAAACATGACAATAAGCTCCACCTGGTCTAACTACCAACCCAACAAACAGAAGACCTTCACTCCAAGCCTGTTTGAACTAGTGTGCATTGCCACTGGTGAAGCCTATCCTTTCACCCAAACCCAACATATTTTTTGTCTAACTCCATTTTGTTTGACTTTTTTTGTGAAAACTCTTTGTGTGTACAGCTTTGTAAATTGGTTGTCCTTTTGATCCTCAAATTTTTCCTTTCTTTTAGATTAACTGCAACATGGTGAGTTTTTTACATCCTGTTTGAAATACCAAGAGACATTATAGCATACATATAGATTTAGAGAATTGATAGATACACAGACTCATCTTGGATGTGAAGCGGTACCCAAAGGCATGACAGTACCACTGTATTCCAAGACACATTGGTGATACCAAACAGGGATGTTTTGGGGAAGTTATCCTTCTACTGAGGATAACCTTTTTTCCTGGTGCATAGACTGGGTAAAACAAGAAAATAAATCTTACATTTGAATCCTTTTCCCTTTTTCCAACACACCAAGCTTTTACCTACTCCCAAGATATCTCACACTTGTGATAGGAGATCTTTCTGCCACTCCAATTCTTTCAGACATTGTCTCTTCTCTCCCTTTTTGAATCCACCCACCACCTAAAAGGGATCAGAATCTTCAGAAGATGAAACAGAAATGTTCTGGAAAACAAGAAAATGAGAAAAGAATTGATTTTTTTGTAGAAACTATGTCAAAATGAATTTGGTAAGAAGAGTAGATAGGAGTTGGGTGTTTATAGAATAGTTTTTATATATGCACATGAGTGTAGTAGAGTGAAAGGTCCCTTGCAGAGGTGTGGCAATCAGATTGTGGCAGAGCCTAGGGAAAATCTTCTCCTCTGTGCCACTGCTAGTCATACCATACTCTCACCCCACAACCTTCTCATGGCAACTTCTTTCTACATCTCTCTTGAATCTCAAAGGCACTTCTATGCTCCAATAATTTATTGAGGCCTGCTCATCACCAGCCCAGTGCAGCAAATCCTGAGTCTCCTAGATGGTCTTGCCCCTGAGAAGTGTAAGGCAATGGTGTATTGCTTTGGACTGTTTCATTTCTTCAGAGGCCACCCCCACACCACTCATAGTATATAAAAACCTGTCCTAAAGGACAATCTAGTGTTGACTGTGGTAAATTTATGGTGTCCAAGTCCACAATAAGTCTCAATCTCTGGATTGAAACCTATTAAAGGCAAGGAGGGGACCTTTGATTTTAATAGTTTTCAATCCAAATTTGAGACCTATTGTGAACTCTGTCACAAAATCAAGTTTCACATATGATTGAACCTAATAGATGCCCGTGGTGCAAGGCTGCGACCCGGACCTGTGTGATCCAGGTCAGCCTTGAGACAGGGCCAAGCCCTGTTCTGACCCAAGGGCACCTCAGAGAGCACTTGGGTTGCCTTGAGGCGCGGTATGTTTTTTTGGGGGAGAGGGGAGCAATTCCAGTTGCTCAGCAAGTAGATGCTGAGCTGTCTGACTCCTTGGTGGCCTGGATATCACGAGGCCTGGTTGAATTCCAATTGGCCAGCATGGTAATAGAGTTGAAGAGTGCTGACTCAGCAGCTCAAAACTCCAGTATCAAGACTGCACAAATAAAAGCACAATCCAAACACGCAAAAGGGGAACAATGAAAAAAGGTAGAGGATACCACAGAAAGTCATAGGGGAAGTGAAAAAGTATAAATAGATGGGGCTTGTTCAGCCAAAAGTGAAATCCCCAAGTCATCCTTGTGATTACACCTTAGAACAGGAGTCAGATTCAAGCTCTAACTATATCTGGTATCCTCTTGCCAAAAGGCTGAAACTATTTTACAAGTTTCAGTGCTTTTGGGGGGGGATTCCAGATTTAGTGTTAGGGAATGTTCTACTGCTTACTTTAACTATTTGAATTTCAGGGGCCTGGGTCCAAACATCAAGCATCAGACAGGATTTCTTCACTCAACATACCACTAGTATGTAGATACCTTTATTTAAGTGTTTGATTGCATCCAATTCCAACACAGATCATAATCCAGTTTCAATGGATTTTGAGAGACATGCAACTTTGATTGGGTCAAACAATCATTTACCAATCTTATAATCACAAGATTGAATCAACTTCAACAAAGCATTTTCTTTGCCAAACAAATCCGTACTTCTTCAAAGAAACTCATGGTTCCAACCCCGTGTTGATGGAGGATATTATATCATTTGGGTTTGTGAAGATGCAAGAAATTCCGCAAAACTAGGATGTTCAAAGGTTTCCCAAGCTTGTTTTTACCAGCAGATGATGAGAAGGATGGTATGAATAGTGAGGAAGTAAGTATTCATGAGTGAGATAGAGTACCATATTACTTATCTTATAAGTTGATCTCACCAATTTGCTACAACTTTGGTTGTTATTCATGTTTTGACTGTGTTGTGACTGTACATAGTATTGGTGTTCCATCTCTCTTTCATTTGTGTGGAAATCTAACGTCTATTTATTTACTTGTATTTCTATTCGCAAGCATTATCCTTTCAATCACAGACCTTGCTAACACATCCTACAATTTAAATAGGTACATGCTAGGGTGGGGGGGGCTCATGGGGGGAGGCCTTGACCGGGGTTGTCTCAGGATTAGCCTGGACTTGTGAAACCCCGGGTTCGGCCTTCCCACAAGCCCGACAGACCTGTGACCACCGGAGAGTCCGGTCCCAGCCTACCCAACCTTGGGAGTGCTGGAGAGCTCCCAAGCTTGCTCGGACCCATTCTCTCCTGTGCCCCAAGGCCTGCATGCCCCCTCCTACGCCCCGTAGGGCTCGCCTAGACTCACTCTGGGCAAGATGCATGCCTCCTAGCCTAATTGGCAATCCCTATTTCCCAATTCAGAATCTTGCAAGTATATGATCTCATCACTGTACAGGGATCTACCTCAAATTCTCACCGGGAACATTCCTCCCATTCAAACTCTGATAAGGTTTAATAACCTCTCTGAAGGTTTGTGCGCATTGTTTTTCCCATTGGATTCAATTTCATTCTGATCCCATTTTCAACAGCCACCACTTTGCATCTTCATTCTCCCTCTCATTGAACTTTCTCAGATATCTTTTGTAAGCTCGTGACTTCCATCTTCCCTTCTCAATGATCTTCTCTAAAGATACTCCTTGGTTCCATAGAAAGGAGGCCCTGCCCACTCTAAACGAGTGTCCAGCTATCCCCATCAAGCCGTCGGTTTGCCAACTCTTCCTTAGATACCCCATCAAGCAACTTTTACCAATTGCTATTGCTACTCCATCTTTATCATAATACCAAAACAGATATGTATCTTCATCCGCGCCGTTCTTGATGTGTTTCTCCAGCAACCTTTCCACTGCACCTACTGGGTCTAGTAAAGACTTAAATCTCCTCAATTGTAAGTATTGTATCTCCTCCGGTTTTGCTGTCTTAGCGCCTCTCAGACCAATTGTTAACTCTTGCATGTCTTTTGACATCTCTATGTCTTTCAACTTGATTGTCTTCTCCAGATTCAGCGGTACTATTTCTCCCAACCTGGCCATTCCCCAGAAGGCCACCAATGCCACTGTCACGCACAAGTCCATTGCCTCATTGCCTCTCTTCATACCCCTCAATAAGCTTGCCAGGTGTTTTATCTCGACTGCTTTCTTCTGGGGTTTCGGAGGTGTCTTTGCGTCAATCATCTTGGCTGCCTTCAAAAGTAAGTTCACCACCTTCTGATTTGCCTCCGGGAAAGGTTTGTTTGTCAACTGTACTCCTTCTGGTTTAGGTGCCACCCACTCTATGAAACCTTCCACATTCTCTACAGTCAGAGGTAAGATTTGGTGCCTTTCCAGACCCTTACTTCTAGTGTAACTAAGTGGTTTTGATATTGCCGAGTTATATTGGATCAGGGTCTCTTTAGACCTCTTTAGACCAACTACCACCTACTACCATTAGCTGTTGTACTCTGCTCATGTGTAAGTTCTCTACTCCGTTCTCATCCTGAATAAGATTCTCGATTTTCTTAAACTGATTGACTCCTCCTCCTCCTTCTCTCCTATTGTCCCCTCCTACTCCTGCCTCAAGTACGGTGGTAGATCGATTGGCATATCTACCACTGCCTTGTTGTGCCATTCAAAGCTGGCTGTGAATCCTCTAGATAGAACGTCGGCCTTGTTCTTGTTTGTTCCGACCCTCTGTTGTTTGATTGCTAATTGGTCAAAGGTAAGTAACTTCTGGATATGTTTCCATTCTTCATTTACTGCTCTGTCCTTAGACCTAGAATTGTGCATCACCGCTTTGGTTGTGGTATTATCTGTCCACACTCTGAAACATTTCCCTTTGCTAGCATCAGGATCCCTAACCGAACCGCTACTGTCTTGATCCAAGTGATGTTTTGCTTCACCCCTCGTTTGTCTAGTTCATTCCAACCACCTAGGAGCCTAAAACGACCCCAGTTACCTCCAATTTTCACGCCTACTCCATATGATGTCAACGCGTCTCCGACCCAATCAATATCAACGGCCTTGGCCAAAGGAATTATCCTCATGTGTTCAAACATTGTCAGGACTGCCAGCCGCTCCTCTAGATTGTCTCTCACCGCTTGAGAGATTCCGCTTTCTGCACTTGGGTTTTGCCATGGCTCCTTCCATGCGTACAACTCCTTCATGTAACATTTCATATCTGGGAGGATGTAAGTTCTGTGGCCAAGTCTACCAACGAATTTATCCACCTTCCCTTTCTTCCACTTCGCTCCACCCAAGAGTTCTTTAACAGAGTCAATTCGTTCTTGAAGCTTCTCCTCTGGGAGTTGTACGGTTTTATCGTGCCCATTCCAAATAAAACCTAAGTATCTCTGTTCTTCCGCAAAATCTGAAAATTTTGTATTGTTTGTTTTCACTCCTATCTTCTTGCTAAGATTCAATACTGACTCCATCCTAATTCCACTTCCTTCTTCTCGCAGAATCAGGTTATCATCCACCCAGCAAAAAATCTTTGGTATCTTTATTGCTTTTACCATAATTTTCTTCCAAACGTTCCACAACCAGCTACTCCACCAAAACCCACTCTTGTATCTACCCATAGCATCCCTTCGAAGTCCGGGATCAATAGAAACCTCCATTGGGATGGGTGAGTCAGAATTTGCCTATAAGCCTTTTCCCAATCAAATATTGCTAACTCCCATTTAATTTTATTATTCTTCAGGAAGTTCGCTAATTCATTGAAATCATCCCATGTGGTTTCAAATTTGTGTTTATCAACGAAGGAGTTTGCTAAAGGTACTGTGACTATTCACTACACTGCCCATTGGATTTGAGCGAAATAAACCATATCTTTTGTGGACTTGTTTGTGAGTGAACAGGCCAAAGAGTTTCTTCTCTGCTTTTTCCTTCTTAATATTCCTCTCTATCTTCTCTCCGACCAAGTTTGCTGATTCTTGATTTCTTGGTGTAAACCACAGTCTATCTCCAATCATGTGATGGGGTATTCCTTGATGGAAGCCCGTTTTTAGACTTTCTAAGACGTCTCCCCACTCATCCATCAATTCAAACTGGGTCATCAGAGCCTGCCATTCTGGGATATTCAGCTCACAGATCACCTTGTCCGGCCAACACAAGTCTGGCTCATCAAGAAGTTCTTGGTTGGCTCTCATGACTCTTGCGACCTTCCTAGGTGCTGGGGCTGGGGGGCTAGAAGGAAGTGGATCAGGGGGGTTGGAACAGAGATAAGGGAACAACAAGCAGGCACAAATTAGTTTCCATTTCATTTCATTCTCTTCCTCTGTCTTGTCTTTGATTCTCATGACCTTTTCTTGGGACTTTTCTGGTACGCAGACCTTCCCTTGCTCCTCATGAAACAAATCTACTCACTTCCTTGGATTCCTATCCCTGTATCCATTGTCTCTCCCTTGCTTAGCTCCTGTCCACCTACCACTATTCCACCCACTACTTCCTGCATTTCCATTTGCTCCTCCTCCAAACCCTTCTGCCTTCCTCTTGTTTAAGTTCTTAATGAAATTCTTACCCTTATACAAACTTCCACCTCTATCAGCCGCTGGTCCAGTTGGGATCGATCCAGATGGTGCTGAGTGTGCGGTCGTGTGGAAGTTTGCTGGGAATGTCGAGGGGAGTGTTGATGAGGGGAACATTGAGGGTGCAGCTGGTAGGTGAGCTGGTAGGTGAGAATTGTGCCTAGCTTGGGCCCAAAGGGTTGATCTAACCAACTGGGTTGACTTGGTCACTTCTATCTTCTCCAACTTTGTCTCTTTTGCTTTGCCTCTTGACGCATCACACCACATCCCTTTCCTACCCTCCTAATTCTCTTGGTCAATCGGGTCAATCATTGCCTTCACCGCCCCAAAAGCATACAGGTTATCTAAGTACGTGTCATTGTTCCTTTGAGTCGTTTCACATTCAGCCCTTTTCAGGACCCTAACATCTCTCACTCCGATGTCTGCCATCTTCCCTTCAGGTCCAACTTTAAATGTCATATACACCTGCCTCATCTCCAAATCATATCTGAATGCCACCATCCAACTATCTTCATTTTCCTTCTGGATCTCTAGCACATTCTCAAAGTGTTTCGTCATTGCTTCCGCAACATCTTCTTGTTCATAGTGGAGAAGGTGATCAATTGTGGTACACAAATATCGTTCTGGAAATTTCCAGAACACTTTTTCCAGAACGCCAGAAGGTTTTTTTTTTGGTGTGTTCTGGCGTTCTGGCGTTCTGGAACTTTGAATGCCCCAAACTCCAGAATGCCCAACACCTGAGTACTGAACCCAACCACACATCCGCTAGCACACACCTCATACCACGCACATCAAACACCCTCCCACATCACTTTTCTCAACTCTCAGCACTTCTCGGTCTTGCATTTCAATTTAACTCTGCCTTTCCTCCTGCAATGGTTCGAAAAAGCCGACGTCGACTTCTGAAACGGTCTATTCACTTGGCAATTCACAAGAAGAATCAGTCACAAACAGACCTTTTAACTTTAGCTTTCCAGAAAAAGAGGAATTCTGAAAGCCTTTTCATCCTTTGGTGTCTTCAAGCAATCATCGTTCAGCAAAACTTACAATCCGAGGCCGTTTTAGATGATGAGCATGATGCCGATGATCGATTTGAGGCTAGGAAGCCACTGTACCTGTTTTTGCTGGCCGCGCTGGAATACCACTTGGCCAGTGCACAGTCTGTTAAGCTTGTGCTACTCGGTCGTCGTCTACGTCAAATCAATCAAAACGGACTCGATCGGCTTGAAGAGGCTCTAAAAATTTTAAATTCAACCCGCTATGTTCAGGATCGGAGATCGCGCGAACGCAAAGTTTTAAGAAACGCAGCGTTTCCGCAAAGGTTTTGGGAAGGCGGTGATACATTTATATGTATAGTAAGTCTGCTTTCTGATGTTTTCTCTTGGTGTCTGCTAATGAGGGATATTGTACTCTCACTGGTAGGCTCGAATGAGCGAGGAACGATTTTGGAAATTAGTCGATTTGATTCAATCGAGTGGTGTATTTCACAACCAATCACATCACAAGCAAGTCCCTGTACCATGGCAGCTTTTGGTTGCTCTAGCGAACCTGGGATCTTCGGGAAACGGAGGTGATCTTTCACATTTGGCATATATGTTTCACATTTCAGGTTAGTGAACTGTCTTGTTTGGTAAACATTGATTCTATTTACTGATCCGATTAATTAGTTTAGAAGGTAGTGTCCAAAATTGGACGAATCGATGTATTTATGTGATCCTTCAAATTGAAAAGGACTGGGTGTTCTTGCCCAAAGAAAATGAACGACAAGAACTGAAATCCAAAATGAAGGATACTGTTTTCAAAGATACGGTGGGATTTATGGATGGAACTCTCATGCCACTTGCTTTTGCGCCGGTGAGGAATCCTGAGGACTATTGGACACGGAAAAACTTTTACGCTTTCAATGTGATGTTAGTGTGTGATGTACACAAGTCAATCCGATTCTATGAACTTGGTTGGTGTGGCTCGGCTCATGATCAAAGGGTTTATCGCTCCTCTTTAGTAAGTTTGTTTGTGGTAAGCTTAATGGATGAGATGGAGTTTAACTGACTTCTACCCAGCTCTTCACGAATCCTGCCAATTTCATGAACGAGGAAGAGTTTCTCTTGGCAGATTCAGGTTATACCTTATCTCCCCATGTAATCACACCTTTCAAATGCTCTGTTGGTCGCCGCTTGAGGGATAATCAAGAAGCATTCAATCAAGAATTATCTAAGTGGAGGGTCATTATCGAACAAAGTATTGGTATGCTTAAAGGCAGATTCCAGTCTTTAAAAGAAATCAGGATAATCTTACGTGGGGTGTCAAGTGCGAAAAGGGCGAATGCGTGGATCCGTGCGTGCATAATTCTACATAATTTCTCAAAGGCTGGTGGGGAAGAATGGCATGACGAGTTTGGATCAATTGAAGAAGGCCTGATTCACTCAGTAGGAAATGCAAGGCCTCCTCAAAACCAACCTTCTGGACAAACAACTGATGTTAATCATTTCAGGCAGGATACTACAAGGCGAGATGGTCTTTTTGCTGAGTTTATAGCGACTCCAAGGGGTTAATTAATTGTCTATCTGTTTCACTACATTTCAAAACTTTGAATTGTTCTTATCTGTTGAACTAAAATTCACAACTTTGAGTCGTTCTCACTGGTTTATTGGCTTTCAAACCTTTGATTGAATTTGTTTTAGTTTCACAAATCGACTCTGTTGTAAAAAAAATGCCACTCAAATTTAAATTTTTCAATTTGACCTTATTTATGGTCACCTTTTTGATAAGAAACTGATGATACTACTTCAAAAAGGTTTTGGTTATTCAAAACCACAAACAATGACCAAAAACAAGCAATAAATTTCAAATCAACAAAGGTAAAAGATAGAAAATAACTTTTTTCTTAATTTTATTTGGTGAAACAACGATATAAGTAAGAGTAGGGAAGAAACTGAAGGAAAATAATTTTTCTTTATAAGACTTGTTTTGTTAACAGACTTGTATTTGTGAAACAACGATTTAGGTAAGAGTAGAGAAGAGACCCAGGAAAACCGACTGGGTATCTTGTCTACATAGCTTCTGAAAGCAATTTGAAACTTTTCAACAAGTACATCTTGACAAACATTTGAACTTCAAAAACAAGAACCTTTTGAAACCGAATAAAATTGTCTCAAATCTGAGCAAACCGATACCGTTTTTTTATAAACTTGAGTAAGTGATTAGATCAGTTTTCAGACCTAAGTATAAATCAAAAGAATCAGTCAAGAAGTCTATCGCATAGAACATTGAAAATATCCTTACGTCTTTTCAACAGTCTTGTATAAATCATCAGCAATTATTTTTGCTTGTTCATAAGCAACATTGTTATCTTTCATAAATTGATTGATGAATTGTCCTTTTGCCATTGCCAATTTGAGTTCCATAGCCCGCTTCGTTTTTTGAACATCTAATCGAGCCGCTTCAAGTTGACAAATCTTGAGCTTTGCATCGACCTGTGCTTGTTCTAACTGCTGTTCTTCAGTTAATAAGGTTTTTGAATCCTTTTTTGGCATCAAAGCACTGGCCAAATCCTTCATAACGTCCTTCATTGTATTGCTTTCGAGTTCACTCTTGATGAGGACATCTTCAAGACGAGTGATTGAAGAATTTGACTCGGTGTCTGGCTGACTCAATAATTGACTGACTCGAGTTTCAGCCCCCGGTTTGTGAGTTCGGTGTGATTGTGATGGTTGGATCGAGCTACCGTGATACAAATTCTGTGTTTGATTCGGTTGACTTGGTTCTCTTAGAGATGAAATCAGATGAACATTAGTTTATACTGTATGAATTACAAGAGACAAACTCACCATCATTTTGAAAATTGTCGTTCAGAGCACGTTGAATTTCTTGGTTGAAATTGTCTTCCAGATTTTGTTCCTCGGTGAGCTGACGATAGTACTCATCATTGGAAGCTTGTGAGTGATCATCTTCGATTCGAGTGTTTGGGTCGGGACTCTCAGTGACTTGTGAGGCCTCGATCAGCCTTGATGACAGTCCCAAACATTTTAAAGAATTGTCAGCAGAGTTTGGTACCGCACTGCTTGCACCATCAAGGCGAGTACCCTTGTCTCGAGTCCCCATTGTATCCTCAAGCTCATAATAATATTTACAGTGGTGTTTGATAATATAATCTGATTCAAAACATGATCAGTCGGAGATTCAGAAGGGTGCTTGAGGATGGATTCACTCACCCTGTATCAAACACTTCTTATGGTTCAAATACTCTGGATGGTCATCAGTCCAGCCATTCTTTGCTTTCTCTGCTTCAATTCCATTCTTTACACCCTGACCAGTGCTATTTAGCCACATCTGACCCGAAATGAATTTTTTTTTGAGTTCCGAAACCTGTAAGATAAATCATGTGTGTCAGTTGAGATTCAAAAGCTTTACGGTCTTGAGACTCACCTTTCCTTCCACGTTCTTGACACTTCGGCCATAAAAACCATGCTGAGCTAAATAATCGATGATCTCCTCCACCGTATGACTTTTCACAAGAGTCTTATCCTTGTACCGAGTCCAATTACCATAAGTTGTGATCCAGTTCAACAGAATACTCATCGCAGTTTCCCCCTTCTCATTTTTCTCCTCTTCCCAATACACTGGTGCTTTTCGAGTGGATACACTATTGTTGGGTTCTTCTGCATCTTGTTTCTTGGATTTTCTTTTTGAATCGGACTTCGGGACTTTGCTGGTGGTGGCTTTGCGAGTGGATGTTGACATGGCCTTACCTTTTTTGGCCTTGGCAGTTCTTGAATTCTTTTGAATTGATGAGACTGGTTGTTTGATAGGTTGAGAGAGAGAAGCCATCGAATTGAAGGAGGATCCAAAGGCAGAGGGTGAAATTACAGTAGCAGGAATAGGTTGTGTATAGAAGTTTGGTGATCCGGAGTTCAAATTGAAATTTGATGGGTAGGCCTGAAGAGAAGATGGGTGAATTTGGAAGGTGAACGGTGTGATGACTTGGTTTTCTTGAGGGCTGCTTGGTTGGCTGGAGGTGGGAGTATGGTCGTCGATCACTTGATCCATGTTTGTTAGGCGGGGTATGTGGGGAAGCTGCAGCAGGCTGCAGCAGAGAGTTTATGTTGAATTTGTGTTTTTTCCAGAATGCCAGAAGGCTTCCCGAAGGGTTCTGGCGTTCTGGAAAAAACCTTCTGGAAATTTCCAGAACGATATTTGTGTACCGTAAATGAAGAGGTTCTTTGGTCAATGCCACTGAGCGACCGTTGTTCACCACTTGTTTGGGTGTGGTGATCCGTTGTAAGAGTTCAAATCAGTGTCTTTTGTCTTGGCTCTAGACGATTTGGTTGACATCATGCTCATATCTTGACACAGCCAGACCGGATTGAAGATTGACAAAGGAATGTACCAATTCAAATTGCTCATCTCCGACTCCCAGTACTTCAAGAGGGGGGTTAACACATGGGATAGGGGTTTACCTGAATCTACCACCCTCTTCTTAGATTTGGGGTCTCATCACCTTGATCTTTCTTCCCTAGAAACGCCTTCCACTCTCTTCTAGCTTCCACCAGCTCATTGTACAACTTCCAATCATGGTTCTGGAACGCTAGCTTGATCTCATCATCCATCCATTTGGCCATTCTCTCTGTAGCTGTCAATAGGACTGGTTCTACTACCAGGACAAACACCAGTAAGTCAGTTCTTTGTCTTTAGTTCTTCTCTTACGAGGCATTCCTATTGGAGAATTTTATTAATCCCATCCCTTTCTTTACGTTCATCTCCTTCCAAGAGGCATTTCCACATGTGGAAGCATTTCCTTAGAAGAGAAGATGGTGGGTAATTGGTGATAGAGGGGGGAGGGATCTAATCGCTTACCTTTAATGGCTCTAGCACCGTGTCCGGGTAGTTCTTGCTCGTTGACAAGCGCGCACGACTTCCCTTTGAGGCACAAAGGAAGTTGGTGTGTGCTTGTTGACTAGCAAAGCCTACACAGACACGGTGTAGGATGCTCTTCCAGTACTACTCCTCCCAACACTCTATCATTCCGCTGATGCCGTTGAGTACCACTCCCGTCTCCTTCCAAAGCTCCCCATACTCCTTTTATTCTTTCTCCTTCATCTCCTTCTTCTCCATTTCCTACTTCACTGACCTCTTCATCTCCTGACTCGTCTGCTTCTCTATCCCTCAACAGTCTCTCTAACTCTTCTATCCGCTTCTCCGCTCGTTCATTTGTGATTTTCTCCTCGAGTAACCTAGACTGGGCTACCGCTTCTTTCTCTTCTTCCAGCTTGATCTGTTCTTGTTGGTGTGTAAGTGGTTTGATTCGAATTGGGCCTACCACCTTTGCCTTTGCCTTGCCCTTTGGTTGTGTCTTTGTTGGAGGTTGAGTCGCCAATTCTTGGGCAGGATCTTCCAATTGATTATTTGTACCTCTGGCTTCCGCATCTCCAGTTCCTTTGTTGGGGGTTTCATTTGTTCCTTGTGGAGGCGGACCACCTTCTCCAGCACCGCTCGCTTTGTTCTCTTCATCTCGATTCATTCTCAACTTCTTGTCTATCTGGTCTTGTAATTGATTACTATCCATTTCCAGCAAAATAATTTCTTCTATTATCCACTTGTGTTTCTTTCGATGTGTAATTGAATTGTTGAGCTTTGATATATGATTTTTGATCAAAAAGAGAAATTATGAGCGTGCAATAGAGAGAGAGAGAAAAAAATTCAACAGCTAGAGAGCGTAGAGTGCCAATCCGCGGATGCTGAGGAGAAGTGTCAAGAGGTTGAAAATCTTCAACCTAGAATGCGCCACTTCTCCCCGCGGGTTGTGTTCCCTGTCACGCATTCGTGACATGTGAAGACTCTACCCATCTGTCACCCTTGTTCCATGCCAATGGAAACTCTCCACATGTCGTGCCTTTGGTGTGAAGATGCCATCAACAGATGTGTTTGGCCCAAAGTTTGACATGCTTCAACCCCTCCAATTTTTCTCATTGTTGTTTTCCATGAAATGTTGTTCTTGCGTCTGTACATAGTTTTGGTGTTCAACAAATGGGTTTGGACCAAGGTCTGAAATGCTTGATTCCATCCAATTTGTCTCATTTGTGATTTTGTCCATGTTGATGATATTTGTGTGCAACAAATGGGTTTGGTCCAAGAGATGCCATGCTTGATTGACCCAATTTGTCTTGTTATATTTGTTTTTATCTATGGATTGATGCTGTTGTGAGTGTACATAGTTTTTGGATGTAAAATTTGGAGTTGTTCAATGGTTTGCCATGCTTGATTGTGCCCATAGACTCTGATTTTTGTTGTTGCTCCTGTTTTGTTAATCTTGTGACTGTGCATGGTTTTTGTGGGCAAGAGTGCCTTTGTTTACCTTTGACCTAGTTTTTTGATACAGATGCTATGGTTGACCTTATCCAAGGTCTTGAGTTTGGCCAGCCAAATTTGTCAACCTTCCAGTTTTTTTGTTTTGGTCAAATCTTGCAGGTTGACCTGGCTGGTCTCATAGACCTGAAACCACAAGCTTGTGAATACATAGCAAGAAAATAAATTGCATTGAAAATCCTTGGAACTTGTCTTTTTGGTTCTTCTCTGCCATGCCTCCAACAACAATGAAGAATCCATCCAAGGCAAAGGCAAGATGGAGCATTGATTATGAGGAAGCCATGATTGACTTCTTGCTAACTGAGAAGCAGGTTAATGACTTTGAGGTTGTGTACAGATGTGGAAGTTGCTTGTAGCGAGCAAATGCGGACAACGAGTTTCTCAGTAGCGACTTTAGCCAAGAAACCGATGAGGTCAAGGAGTGAGTACATATTGGATTAGAGATGGCAAAAACTATCCGTCTCAGCATACACACTCAAATATTAGCTAGGAAGGCTTGAAATAGATTTCAACCAGTGTCGGTTGAGGTCCTGAAGGTTCTCATCTATCAAGTCCATTGTCACGGCTATCATCGTTTCTCATTCTCATCGTCTTAACATATCTCATCGCATCTGAAAACCAATTCTCAACAAAACCTTGACACGCAGCCATATCTACCACCGTCTTGTGTCGCACAAAACCAAGAGAGCGAGAAATGACTCCTATTCAATCGAAGCAAATCCCAAGCTTTCCAACACTTGACAAAACAAAACGGGCTTGCTTACATCTACCACTTGATGTTTCACTAGCAAACACTGATGGGCTATCGAAGCCATCGATCTCACAACTTTTGATTTTTGGAATACATTCGGACGGCTGATCGTGACCCGAGTCGGTCAGTAACATCGTCACGCTGAGATACGCGTTCGCACTTTCGCCCTACACATTGAATGGGGATGATAGCCGCACCACCATACGCTGGAATGAATATCTCGTGTTATAATAGGATTGCAATTCTTCACGTATTCGACCAAATCAATCAACTTGATCTGGTTGATATGAAGTTACACATCACACTACATACCTACAAATGGCCTATCAAGCCCCACGTGGCCAAATTCTCCATTGCGAAGATGATCAGCGTTCATTGAGTGTAAATTGTCGAATCAAGAATCTGATGAAGATGATATCTTGACAAAACACTTCTTCATTACATCAAATACTATGAATGATGCTCTGGGATATAAATGAGGTGTGATGAAGCTTTAGATCCTGACTCTCAAAGTCTGCCGGCTCTAGTGATCTTCAATATAATGGATTCCATTTTTTACATCATCGAGCAAAGTAACAAAGTCGACTTGGTTGAGATGAAACTACACATCACATCTATGGTCTCGCAAGACCCAACTTCTCCACGCTGAAGATGACAAGCGTCCTTTAAGTGTAACTGACCTGATCAATCATCTTATAGAGATGCTAGTTTGAAAAATATCTCTTCTTGATTTTGAGATCAAATGTTATGAATGGTGCTATGGAATGTAAACAAACTTTGATGTGGCTTAGATCTCGTTGACTCAAAGTCTAGCGTCTCCAACAAGTTTGAATTAGGATCGCGTGGAGTAATGCAATTATTTTCCAGATCACAATCACCCTGTACCATACATGATAGCTGAACAAACTGTCTCTAAAAGTCTCGTTCTTGAGCCTTTCTTAAAATTGTAAAATCATTTGAATGATGTCTTTTGCCGAAATCCAATCAGAACAGTCTACATGAACTTCAGTGTTTTTAAAACCTTTGGTCCCCAAGCTCACTGACTGTAAACTAAGATAGGTGATGGACAAACTTGCAACCTGAAGTTCACAGACACATTGCTCGCCTTGAGACCCAATCCTTCGAGTCGTCTGCTGAGATTAGAACAAGCCTATGAGGATTGTGAGACATCGATTGTGTGATGGAAATGATTTTGACAAGATGTGTTTCCGGACAACAGATGCTTTGTATGATGAACATGAGTTTATACATTACCTTATGAGATTGTTTACTGCGATTACCAAAGGTCTGGTGCATTCATCCACTCAATAGGGCGTCTATGTATGCAGAGCAGACTATCAAATGTTCAGATTAACTTTGGAAACGACAAGATGCCTGACATCGTTCTCTAAAAGAATCCCAAAGATTGAGAACGGGTTGTGAGGTATCTTGAGAAACGCGAAACCAGACCACTTGTCTATATGAAGATTGCACTCACAAGCAATTTATATACTCTCAATTTCTTGTTTATATTCAGAAGAAACTACATCCAATCAGCTGTTTACCTAAGCATGAAAACAACCACAGGTGATCGGATCCTAGGATTGCGCTTGACTAGACTGTGACCTTTTTCTCTATAATGACAATAGGTGCCTCAGATAACAGAAGGATAGCTCCGATTGTTTCTTAGCTAGCTGTGACTTTGAGATGATTCTGCTATCTGAGTATCCGCACAAGATGCGAGCGAAACTGAAAATCATCCTATCAGTAAACCTCTACAAAATCATCTGGAAGAGTTCACATCTATGAACATGGCCTGAGAAGAAAAAGCCTAAATCGATTGAATCGTGAATCTTGATGATTCTTCTGAAAGTATCTTCAGATCATTGACAATTATCAGTTCAAATTCGAGTGATGAAAATTTTGAAGGCTTGTGTCCAAAGCCGATGTTTGTTCAAAGCACCGTCCTTCACCTCAGAGTGATCCATGTGACAGCTGGACAGACAGAAGAATGCTCACTAAAGCTTTGGTCCAAAATCTTATTAGACCTTGACCAAGGACACAGTCCAAATCAGGTGACATCTAATTGTATCGTGGGAGAGATCGCTTGCTGAATTCCTCCTTGATGAATTCCCTGTAATCAAATGTTGAAAGGGGTGAGGGGCGAAATGAAGTTCATGTACCAGATCTCTGTGCTTTGGAATGATGTAGAATTAGAACTTGTATATTACCCTTTGTTATGGTACTCTTGGTGATCAAAGACCCGGCATGCGTATCAAGTTCTTTTTTTCTAATTTCAGTTGATGTGAAAGATACAAATAAATGAACACATAATGATTCTAAATGCACGAGTAATCAGGACAAGAAGTGAAAAAATTGCTTTTTGATCTATACGATCACAAGATCTAAGAACCAATAGAGTCTGAAGTCATGGTAGCATAAAATGGGGAATTATAACTATAGCAAAAAATGACTCCTTGAACGAATTCAGCGCGAACGCGTATACATATCGCGTCTTACATTATTGGAATCATTAATAATGCCACGAAAAAGCGCGCGCGGTTCTCTACGTTAACGTGATGCTTGTAATGAGAAAAAATAAGCTTAATTTTACTCCATTTCTGCTTGATTTCTGTTGGGTATGAGTGGCATAAACCGATAAACCCATAAGTATGTAATTGTTCGGGTTAGAGTCAGGATATAAACCGTACGAAGTGAAATTCCTCCTTGAATACTTTTTAACAACTTACCACATCACATCACATCACCTTCAAATCGGTTCAAAACCTCAATAACCTTCAGAAGATTAGAATGTCAAACTTTGTGATGCCAGATGTTGAGGACGATTACATTGTATGTTCTTTTTTTCCTTTCACTCAACTCTTTCTTTTATTCGATCGATCTTCCCATTCCATTTTCATTTCTCTTACTCTCGTTCCTTTTCTCTCTCAAGAGCTATGCCTCGGGTCTAGAGCGTCACTTCCAAGAAACGGGCGAAAGACTAGCTCTTCTCAGCACGCCAGAGACCAGACTAAAGCAAGAAGCCGAGGCTGAAGCTGAAGCCAAAGCCAAAGCTGTAGCTGAGGCATTGAGCAAACTCACAGAAAGAGAAGGAAGGAGTTCAGAAGAAGGTATGCTTCTATTCCACTTCATGCATTGAATCCTTTTTCACTTGATTCAAGTGGTACACTTTACTGATATTCGCTTCCATTTCCATTAGCTCTTCCCGAACGTCCTCTTGGCCTCAAAGCTAAACTCAAGAAGCTTCTCCCAGATGCATTAAGGAAGAGAGACTCGGTGAGTATTTCAACTCCGTTCGCTTTTCTTTGTCAATCTTCTTTTCTCTGAGACTCTTCTCTTTTTTCTTTTTGACCGCCTCTTCACATCATAGCACCCCAAATCATCCACTCTGCCCAAGATCGTCCACGTCCATCAAGTCGATGATCAACCAATCCCTTCCGGTTCCGAAGAGGTCTTGGTTATCAGCACGCCAGAGACCAGACTAAAGCGAGAAGCCGAGGCTGAAGCTGAAGCCAAAGCCAAAGCCAAAGCTGTAGCTGAGGCATTGAGCAAACTCACAGCAAGAGAAGGAAGGAGTTCAGAAGAAGGTATGCTTCTATTCCACTTCATGCATTGAATCCTTTTTCACTCGATTCAAGTGGTACACTTTACTGATATTTGCTTCCATTTCCATTGGCCCAACTCTCTACATTTGATTGACAACGAAGATGAAGCTGAGATCAAGTCCGAAGAAGAGGTAGAATTTGAAAGCTATGAAAACAATCCATTCTTTCCTCAGAATGATGGTATTCTACGATATGATGAAGAATTTAGGGTATACACCAATAGATTTATATATGATGGAAACGCGAATCTATACACTTATAGGTATTATATTTAGTATTAATGTTATGTTTATTTCGGGTTGAAACGAAAATCAATGGTCATATAATGAGATGAAGCGTATTGCTCCTATTACAAATAGAATTAATACCTGCCTTGTCAATTGCACAAGTTTCCTCTCATACCCCACAAGGTCTTTCTTGAAGCTTTGGTATTCTCTCTTGCCATGAACCACTCGAAACCATACATCATGTTTGCCTCCTCATAACTATTTGCCTCTCATCTCCCTCCAGCTTTGAAACATTGTATCTAATATTCCATCTTTGAACGGTGCCTTGTTCAGCTCTCATTGTTATTGGTCAGTTTCTCAACTTTTATTACTTCTATTATTTAAGTTGTGAAACTCTCATTGTGTCTTATTGTAATTAGGTAATCTCGCTTCTGATCTCATGTTCCATTCCTTTCTTTTCTAAGCAATCTTTATGTAGGTCTGTACCTTTTCAGGTTCAGACCTGGTGTGGGGGGGGGCCGTAGGCCGGGGACTGCCTGTCCGAGAAAGGTTTTCTACCACCTATTCTCTGGACGGTTGGCGTCCTGAGCCCGTCGAAAACCTGACTACGGCAGCAGTCCAGACGCTCTTGTGTGTTCCAGCATCTTCCTTAATTCATTCATCTGCCAATCGCATCTGTCAAGCTTAAACTCTATTTTTATACAGCGTGCCTCCTCCCCTTCTACCTCCTCTCTACATTCCAAACCTTAATCCCACTCACTCGTAAGCTTCACTTGATCGACCTATTCACTTGTGGCTTCAATCTGTCCGGTTAACGCTCATCAGTACACTAATTCTTTCCATCTAAACGACATCTTCACTCACTTTATCTGGCATTTGTTGTTCTTGAAACTTCAGTAAGTTCCACAACTCTCTCATTTGTTTCTTCTCTTCCGGGGTATACTTTCTGAGATTTAACTGGTACGCCTTCGACTGCCATCTACCTATTGACGTTATCTCTTCCAGCGGTCTTTTCTCATTCCATCTGAAAGTTGCGCCTCCCACTCTAAACGAGTGGCCAGTCAAGTGATCTTCTTTCTCCTCCGACTTCCACACTCTCTTATATATTCCCATCAGCTTCGCCTTTGAAATTACACTTCTCTGCCCGTTTTCTTTTAGGTACGAGAAGAGGGGGTCATTTGGACCCGTTTGATTGTCGGCGATCATTTGTTTTAACGCTGAGTTTGCATCTAGGTATGATTGTTGGGCTTTCAATTTAATGTATTGCACTTGTCCAGGCTTCGCGGTCTTAGCGTTGAATAGGGCTATCGTCAATCTGTCACCACCTGATAACACTTGTAGGTCTTTGAATTTTATCAATCGTCTTTTCTTATCGTCAGATACTAACTCTCCCATCCTTGCCATTCCCCAGAAAGCCACCAATGCTATCGCTAACGCCGTCTGATCCCTTCTATTCCCGTTTGATAGTTTCCTCAAAAGTTGTACCAGGTGCTTTAATAAGACTGGTTTCTTCAATTCCTTTTCCGACTCCCTGATTAGCGCCTCTGCCATCTTCGAAGATTTTAACAGAACTGACAATTTCAACGAGCTGTGAGTGGGGTACTCCTCGTTGTGAAACAAATGCCAACACTTGATGCCCGTGAGATACTTCTTTAGGGTCTCTACCTCTACCGCTGCTGACTTTTCGTTTTTCCTTTCTGTCTTTCCGTCTTCTTCTAGTTTCTTTCCAGCCCAAACCACAAATTCATATAATTTATTAATTGACAAAGGTAACAATTGTTTCCTTTTGTAACTTTTCTCTTCTGCAAATTTAATTAATTTCGCTACTCCACTATTATAATTTATTAACGTCGATTCAGCCCAACCTCCGGATAGCATGTGAGTCTGTACACTGTTTAATCTCCATCTTGATTCACCTCTTGCGTCTTGAAGAAACCACCTAATTTTATGTTCCGTTTTCGGTGAGATCATTCTTCCTCTAGTAACAACTTCAAGTCTTCTGGTAATTCTATTCTGATCCGATTCGTAACTTGGTCGTTTTCACCTAAACCTCTAGATAGATCGTCGGCGTCGTTGTTTCCCGATTCTACACGTTCTTCCGTTATGTCACACTGAAGTTTTAGAAGTAAGTCCTGAATTCTCTTCCACTCTTCATTCACTGATTCGCTTTTTGACCTCCTTTTATTGATTACAGATTCTGTGGTTGTGTTGTCTGTCTTTACCCAAAAATTCCTTCCGCGTACCTCTATCGATACCTCCAGCACCAGAATTCCGATCCTTATCGCTGCCGTTTCGGCCCAAGCGATGTCGCGATGTGTTTTGTCTCCTTCAAGACCTCTTGTCTCCCATCCGTCTCTCAACTTAAAATGCACCCAACCGAAATCGGTTATGACCCCTAATCCATGACCGCTTGCATCACCGACCCAACCTACTCTCTCAGGTTCGATCGCCGGCACGATCCTCCGGGGTTCGAAGGTTGTCAAGGCGTCCTTCCAGCTTTCCAAGTCCTTTCTTGCCGCCCTCGACAGGTATCTTCTAGCATTTGTCTTCTGCCAGGGGTTCAACCACGCGTATAGGCCTCTCATGTACGGCTTCATGTGGGGTAAGATATATATCAAGTGGCCTATCTTCCCGATTATTGAGTCTGCTTCTTTCAGGCTCCAAGGCCCTGCCTCATCCAACATTTTCCTTATTGCCTCCAATCTTTCCGTTAGCTTTTCGTCTGGTAATCTCACAGTCTTATCTCGTCTGTTAAATATGAATCCAAGATATTTTTGTTCTTCCGCGAATCCTCTGAGTTTTTCATAGTTAGTCTTGACACCCATTTGTGTGCTTACGTTGACCACGTCCTTGATTTCCAACTGACTGCCTTCTTTCTTTACTATCAGGTTGTCGTCGACCCACCTGAAGATCCTGTCGATCCCCAGTAGCTTTTGGATGATCAATTTCCAGGCATCTGCCACTCTTCCAAAGGTCCCGCAACCTGCCACCCCGCCAAATGGAACTGTGATGTCCATCCAAATGCGATTATAGAAGTCCTTTATCATCAGGTATCTCCATTCCTCTTCCTTCGTACAAGCTTGTCTATAAGCTTTTTCCCAGTCGTAGATTGCCATTAATATGATTTCTTCAAAATGTTCTCTGAAGTACTTAGCAACCGCATGGAAATCATCCCACGTTGTATCGAAGTCGTGCTTGTCTACCATGGAATTTACAGAGGGTACTTCTTCATCTTTGACTGGGTAAGATAAGTCGTTAATCATACGCAGTGACCCATTGTTGTTGATAACGCTTCCCATAGGATTCGTCCTGAAGAATCCCCATTTTGCGTAAACTTCCTCGTGCGTGAATGGGCCAAATACCCTTCCAGCTGTTTTTTCTTTTTGTAAGTTTCTCATAATTTTATCTTTAACTGCTGATGCTGAACTATGATTGTCTGGTGTCCACCAACGCTTATTCCCTAGGTAATGTTCTGGGATTCCTTGAGTGAAACCCTCTACTAAGCCTCTTATCACGTCTTTAACCTCTTCTTCTACGCCACATTTCTTCGCCAGTTCCTTCCATACTTTTATATTCATTTCACTCCTAGCTCTTGATGGCCATTTGGTGTTGATTCTTTGGTGCGGTTCTTTACTCGCAGGCGCGCATCTTCTCTTGTCTTGGTTTCTCTCATGCGTTTGTAAGTCTCGATCCGTGTCTGCCTCTACGTGTGACTCGTTTGTTCTGTGGTCCCATTTTTATGCGTCAGTTTCGAACTTCAACCTTTCCTTCTGTCACTCTTTTAACTTACGTTTTGCTTCTCATTTCTGACAGCTGTTTCTGCTCAATCTGGTCTTTTTGCACACCCGTCTCCTGACCACACAGGCCACGTCTGTGTTCTGGTTGGCAACCATTTCTCACAGTGATGGATCTAAGGCACGTACCGACAAACAGGGAGGGGAACATTATCTCAGCATTTTTCTCACATTGCATGGTGGTCTCTAAGTTTGGACACGCATTCATCTCTATATTTCTTGACCAATGTAACAATCCTTCTGAAACTACTAACAAACATATGGAGGAAACTTAATATCATAACACGAGTTATACTCACTGTTGTGTTACCAAACTACTACCACTTGCCGCAGCTTGTTTCGCCGCCTTCAAGGCTTCGAATGCCCCTTGTCCAAACTTCGGCACTATCACTCCATTCACCACCGTACTCGGGCCTTGATTTGGACTAGGTCTTGCGTTTCCGCCTCTTCCTCCATATCCTCTAGGCGCTCCTCTACCACGACTTCCTCTGCCTCGGCCTCTTTGGCTACCACCATTACCTCCACTCATTTCCGTGTAATTGTGGTGGGATTGTCTGTGAGTATGGTTGCTTTCATTGAAGAACTGGCCGTTTTGAGCGTGAGACTGACTTCTTCCGCTAGGAGCTAGGTGAGACAACATTCTACCGCCCGTTACGGCTGTAATCTGCTCGTTTGCATTTGACACTGCATCCCAACCGAATTGAATTCAACCTGTTGTGTCAGCACTCGAGAACTCAAGAAAGTACCAAGAGCACTTCAAAATAAAATATATATCATTCCATTATTACCATAATAATAAAATACATAAAAACACTATAAAAATTTAGAAAACACCTTTAGAATTTAGTATCAAAAATTCTATATTGTAATATACGAAATATACAACTTAGAGACCTAGTTTCAAAGGTCCACACATGAAGAAAATAAGCATCAGGAACTCCAGACAGAACAATTGACAGATAAAGAGAAGAACCAATCCTATCACGAGTTAATAACTAGCTAGAGAAGAAAACAAAGACAAACCAAATAGCATGAGAACAAAGGTAATAACCTCATAAGACGAATAGAAGACCGTTACGTAGTAATAAGAGAAAACTTGGCAATATGTAATAATCGATAGAATCAAGATGATTAGATAAAACAACTGACAAGATCCGGCCGGAATAACTGCTGTCTCTATACGATCATTCATAAGCTAAGAAGTAGTAATTCTAGTTAGGAAAGCCCCTGACGAGCTCAGAACAAATAGTCTGTCAGATAATAGAAAATTATCGATAACAACTCAAGAGAGAACTAACCTCTCGGTGTTGGTAACACCGCCCGAATGACTAGTACGATACTTCGAGCCAAGACTACCAATAGGTATAAGTACCTGAGCCTTTCACTGCCAACAGAGGAGATCATCGAATTTTTACCCACTATAATTTCAAAAGCGACAGTTAGTGTTCCTTTTATTAAAGAAGTCCAGATATACAAAGATCCCAATCTCTTAGTATAAATTCCACTTCTTGATCAAACTAGCAACTAGCATCCCTTCAGAAATTAAAGCTCGTAGAAATAAACGTACTGTAACTATTTCTCGTTCCCCTGTTATCTCGAAATCCGGATCCTGATTTATCTTGATTTTCTCTATCTATCTTCCATATTTTCGCAAGTTTCTATCCAGGATTAGATACCGGCATTCAGTTAATCTACCCTCCTGATTTCGATCATAACAACGGAATACTCTATCTTACTTGATCACGAGTAAGTTAAAACTACTTGGTCTCTACCATTGTTCTTGCAACGCGAAGTTGTCCAAGATCCCTGTTTACCTTACCGTAACAGGCACTCTTAGCTTTCTGCTATAGAGATTTAAAACCGGGTCCAAGGCTTGACCTACCTCTACTGTACCAACAGTGGGCCCGGATTCCTGAAAAGATAGACTATTATTAATATAGTCAGAATTAACTAACAATTGTTATACTCTGTCCGTATTACTTAGGTAATAACGTTTACAGTATCCCACGTACCCAGCGGAATACTCTTGTCAGGACCTCTACCAGGTAAGAGCTAGACCTTCCTTGTAAAGAGATATTATAGCCACCCTGACATGTTGCAGGATTTACATTCTCCATTGTTCCTCCTATGATATACGGATTATCGAAATATTTGTGATCCTCATTTGCTTTCGAATCAGCGATAGCTTGCTCAACCAATTCTTCATTTCTAACTCCGACATCCGACAATTCACCATTCTCGAGCGTATGACTGAACACATTTGTTCGGTGAGTGATATCGTATCTAAGTGCCGGTGCGAAGGCTTCATGACATTTTGCTTTTATAGATAGCACTATCTTATAATGCTCTTCTAGCCGACTAGCAATATCTTCTCTTCCATACTTCAATCTCCAATATTGCACGTATAAATTGAATGATGTTGACCACATTAGGAAACTCTGTCGCCATTCACTCGGCACCTTTAACCCAACGTACGCTACCACGTCCGAGCAGGATGAGCTCTGCTTCCTGCGGTTCGACATATGATTCTTGTCTTCCAAAAGCCAGGCAGGTACAAAGATTGTGAGAGGAACATAACCAAAACAGGCCTTCATTTTACTATCCCAATAAGGTGCTAAATCAATTAATTTGTGAGTTAAAATTCTTCCGGTCTCCATTTTCTTCCCGACTTTAGCAGGTTTGTCTGAAGATTTATCTTTAGCTTTCCTTTTCCCGGCACACGCTTCTTCTTCATCTTCCTCATCACTCGATACGGCTAACATCTTGATTGATCTAGGTTCTGATCCGAATCTTTCACACCATCTCAAATACGACCGCTCTAGGATCTCATGGCGTCCCGTATTTCCTTTTCTGTACTGTCTAGTCAACTCTTCGATATAACGTTCATGTTCTCTTTCGATATGAGTGTTTTCTTTCACAAACGCTGCTTCGTCTTCTGCAAATAGTTTAACACACCCAAGACACACACACAACATACTTGTCAGTACTAGGCTTTATCGGATGCTTTCATCTTCCTTGGACATCACGCTTTCTATGGCTTTACAGAACACAACATTATAAAACACTTCCGCCTTTCCCAAGCTTTAACCGACTACTTGATCATTCCCTTTCTGGATTTCAATCAGGATATGTTCTGCTATCATCACGGCTTTGATATTTGTTCGGGCGTAAAACACACATCACACAACACTAGACCATTTTTGGGTACATATAACACGACATATATCACACGACACTAGGCATCTTCTTTTCTGTGATCTGTTCCACCCGTGTGGTCTCAGATTCTCTTTCATCAAGCTTCACTCTGTGAGCTGTTCCACCCGTGTGGTTACAGTCCTTCTTCCTATAACGCGTGTAGGAATGTTGGGGGGATAAAGATTGATTGCAAAAGGTGGATAGGATGGGGGTGTGTAAGTTGATTGTTGGGCTCACCTAATGAGATGGTATCCTCATCTACGTCATCTTCTTCGTAAGTCTTCTCCTTTACCTCCTCCGCTTCTCCTTCAACCTCTTTTTCTCTATCATCACTACTTTCCGTCAATTCACTTCCTTCTTCCTCTTGTTCTTCTCCTGCAGATACTTCTACCGGTTCTCTAATTTTTCCTTTTACGACACTTCTTGTTTGGCGAGTTGTCGTGGCGCCTCCTCTTCCTCGTCTTCCGCCTCTACCTCTACCTCGATTGGACTTCCCTTTTCCTCTACCTCTATTCGATCCTCCTACTCCTTGATCATCTTTGTCTTTTTCATGTTGAGATAGAATTGTGTCCACATCCTTGTTGAATACGCTTGTTGTTTCCTGTTGCTCAGACATTATAATTCTTGAATATTGTTCTTTTTTTGAAAATGAAATGTTGATATTTCTTTTTAAGTCTGATACCAAAATTGCGTATTCGAAGCTGAGGTGTATGAGAGGTCTGAAGTGTACAGAACTGTGAAGTTGAAAATTTTCACAGTTTGTATCACTTCTCTCTTTGACGGGTCCGGGGCTTTCCTATGGCCCTGTCCTCTGGCTCATACACCGCGTCATCCGTCCCGATGGAACTCACAGATGACGTCGTGCCTTTGGCCACCAGTGTCAATCATATTTTCAGGGATGCAGGTATGAGTCTGAGTGTACTCTACTCATACCCACTCTGCACGGGTATTTGCCCGGTACCGCAGTACAGGTACTCCCGATGTGGCCAGTATGAGTTCTACTCCACATCGGGTTACCCACTTGGATGCGTAAATTGATTACGCATACTCAAGCAAGCCCTCTCTCCCTGCCCCATACCCAAAACTTGCCTCTCGCCCCGCAAGTTGTTTGGATGAGTCCTCCACTCAGGGAGGACTCATCCAAACAACCCATCCACATTATCTCGATTCGCAATAACAATCCCACTTTCGATCTAGGATATCATCGTTCAAGTTCACCACGCCCTAGGATATTGACTCATTATAGTGCTTAGGATCCCGCCACAAACAAGATCATATTTAATATAGGACCTTGTCCACCTTTCAGATTCTCTCGTCACACTCAGTCCTACCATCATTGGGCCATTGTATCCGGATCGTTCAACCCCTTTTGTTCTTGTGGCTGCTTCGTGATCCTATCAATTTATCTATATACTACGTCTTCAATTGATCTATCAAATGAGTCAAGAATCTTCTGGTGGGCGCCTGGAATTATGGCTACCCGGTGTGGCATGGGTCAATTTAGAGATGGAGACGTTAGCAAGTTCTCTCGATTGGAAATTCAACATAAGGTGCGCCAAAAATCTTACCTATATCTTGGCCCACCTTTCCTTCCATTCCTCACTCTCCCTCCTTGACATCCTGAATCCTGAAACCTATCGCCCCATCGATTCCTGTCTACCTTCGTTCCTTTGTTCCCAGTTTGTTATCATTGTTACTGTTTTCCCTATTACCGTCCACTTTCTCCTTCTGGCTCAAGTCGCTGACCTTGTTTGTCCTTCTCTTACTTCGTGTTTTGATTCCAGGCCTACCAAGTTACTCGACACCATCATGCCTCTCCATCTCCAGATTCAGAAATCTCCCCCATCGGTATCACCCTACGCTTGGCGTGGTACTGTGGCCCCTGCGGGCTTGACCCCTCGGGTCTCCTCGTTGATTCGCTTACCCTCGACTTCGTCTCTCCGTGGGGTTCCCGGTGCTCGTGTCCCTTCGAACGGTCGTGTCCCTACTAATCCACCCGATTCCCCTGGGCTATCTCAACCCAGATTGCCCATCGTACCTGATGCCAATTCCAGGTCATTCATCGTACCTGATGCCAATTCCGTTGATGGTGAAGACTCAATGACGAGATGCAATAGACATCGCTCGGATGTATACCTGTACTTCGATGTAAGTGCAGTATGTCTGATGACCCAAATCTTCATCTAAGTTGACACACATGACTTCTTTTTGCGTGAGCTAACAGGAACCGAGTCCCTTGAGCGACCTAACCAAAGGCGAAGACACCCGATGCTACCCTTGCCTTCACTGCGGGTAAGGCTCTTGTATGTTATCTCATTCCATTTGGATCACTTTTGTTAACTATTTTTATTTTCGCCAGGGTTGTCCTTTCCATCACCGGGCGTCCAAACTCCAACCTGCACAAACATAGCAGACGGTGTGTTGGTCTGGCCTTGGCCTGGTTTAACCACGCCCCTGGTAGCATAGCACCGGAAGAGGATCCTATTGCCGCCGCAGCTCGCAAAAAAGACCTTCGCAACCTACTCGTTGGCGCCATCATTAGCAAGAATCTTCCCTTTTCTATCTTTGAAGGTGATCTCATGCAGAAAGCGTTGCGTGCTATCTGTCCGTCGTTTTATTGGCCTGGTCGAATGGCAGTCAAGGCCGACTCCGAGGCTCTATTTCTCGACATGGAGCAGAATCTTATCGACGAGATTTCTCGTGTGCCTGGATCAATTTCAACCGCGACTGACTGCTGGACGAGTGCAGACTTCTCACACACGTATATGGCGATAAACGGTTTTTTTTCAATGGCGATGGCAAGTTTTGCCGACGCCTACTGGCCTTCAAGGTGATGTTTTTTGACATTTCACTATCTCGATTGTGTTTGTTCTCGTATGTTTCATGGGTTTTGTAGCTGACCAAAAGCTTTTTGGTCAATGTTGGACTTGTAGGCTCTCAAAGGTAAACACATCGGTGAAAACCTCGCTAAAGTCTACTGGAAGGCCCTTGATCACGTTGGCGCAGTCCAAAATCACTTCTCTGTGACTGGTGACAACGCGTCATCAAACCGCGCTATGGTCAAACTCCTTTCGGATCGCTACGCTACCATAGGTATCCACTGGCCATTTGAATCGCGTTTCCACGGGTGTATGTGTCATGTCATCAATCTAGTCGCGAAGGACTTTCTTGATGGCATGGGTGAGTTGGCCGACTCCGACCTCGAAGCGTTTAAAACCTCTGGTCTAGCCGACCCTCCAACCTTTTTCGAACCCGATGAGCTACCCAACGCCGACAATGACGCTCCACCCAACCCTAGTACCAAACGAGATGCTGAGCCCAATGATTCACTTGAAGCCCTTGGCCTAACTCAAGACAATATCGACGATGCAAATATCATTAACCCAGCAAATGCTCTTCGTCAAGGATCGCCAACCACCGCCGTCTCCAATTGTAAGAAGAACTCGACTGTCGTGAGCCGAATACGTGCGTTGGACATGCACATCCGCAAAAGCCCTCAAGAGCTTGAGTCGTTCATCAAGATCCGGAACAGTGTACATGATCCGCTCCTCCTTCCGCTCAGCTGCCCTCCAACTCGTTGGAATTATTTTTATTACGTGGTAAGTCTTTTTATTAGCTCATTGGTGATTGTGTATCCAATTTGACGTTGATATCTCTGAAATAGGTGAAACGAACCCTGCAGCTCCGCAAATCACTGGAACTTTACACTTCTGACCCAAAGCGTGCCAACCTCGCCATCACGGAATCTGATTGGGCGGCCATCCAGCACATGATGCCCATCCTTGATATGTTTGAAACGGCTACCCAGATTTTTCAATCGAACAATGCCACCAAGCAACACGTCCTGCCGGTCCTATGGGCGGTTCAAAAGGTTTTGCAGACTCACCAAAAGGTACCAGGCGCATGGGGTCGTGCTTGCAAACGTGCAGAAGATAAGTTAGTGAAGTATCTTAACCGCGAGGTGTCCAACCACCAGACTTTGGTAGCCACTCTTCTAGACCCAAGCCGTCGTGACACGGATTTTCGCAACCACGTCGATGTTGAGGTTGTTGCTAAACGGTGTCTGCGAGACGAGTATGATCTGTGGAAGCCTAGCCCGACTGAAAGCGGACGTGACTCGCCCCCGCCTGAAGCTGAAAGGACACCAACCGGAAGCAAACACCTCCAAGATATTTACTCTCTCTTGGGAACCTCCAGTATCTACCCACCAGACCTCAACCAACCCGAGTCAGATGAGGTTACTCGATACTTACGCGGAGAAGAACCGGTCCTTCCTAAAGAGAGTATTGGCAAATACTGGACCGTAAGTTCATTGGTTTCCTCCTCTTTGTTTTCACTTTGGCTTATACATTAACTGACTATCTTATGGTTTCCAGCGCATGTCGAAACCGGGTGCCCTTCCGGTCTTGGCTCAGATTGCGCTTCAACACCTCACCATCGCGGCATCAGGCGCCTCGGTGGAGCGCGTGTTCTCGATCTCGGGGAACATTGCAGTTCCTTCCCGAGGCCGCCTGGAGCCCGATGTCATTTGCCACCTTGTCTTAGTGAGACACTGGCTCACTAACTGTAACGTTCCAGTGGAGAGTGTTGCTTTACCAAACGCATAACGAGCTCGTTCTGATCATTACATCATTTACAATTGTGTGCTTAAACATTGTTTAACAAATCCGAATGTGTGCTGATCCGGTGTTTAACAAATTCAATATCCCCACTCTGAAGTTGTGCAAGTGAAGTCAAAGGCTCTTTTTAAGTGAAATACCGACATACCCCAATCGGGGTTTGTCTCCCTGATCCTCCGTGCCGCGTCCTCAAAGGTCTAACTTCAGAGAGCATACTCAATGAGTATTGAGTATACTCATTATGTAATGGGACGTGAGTCTACTCTGAGTGAGTAGACTCACTCTGCGTCGTACTTGAACTACGGGCCATTCTGAGTTCCGGGATCACGCCGCTCACAACCTCAGATACCTTTCGAGTATTGTACTCGCACTGTAACTTACAGTTTGAGTACAATGAGGGAGTATCCGCCGGGGGGACCCGAGCGGGTGAGTCGGAGTCTACTCATACCTGCATCCCTGCATATTTTGTCTATCTTGTGTTTGGAAAAAATCGATATTTGTATAATGTCATGAAGCGTGTTGCTCCCATTGACAGGAGAACGAGGGCATGTCTGGTCACTTGCAAAAACTTCTTTGTCATGCCTCATGAGTCACATGTCGAAGCAACATCATCTTCCCATGTTCACAGTGACAATCTTTATCAAAAGTTTTCATTCCCACGACCGCGCTACCCCAAGCATCCGAATACAAAACAAATCTGCACACAACTCAACTATCATTGCTCTATGAGTCTCTATGTATTCTTATCACCCATCCCACCCAGCTCACACAGGCCTGGAATTGTGAGATGCGGAATTTTTCTCATCCATGCAAAACCAGACGGCCGGCGGCGGCGCCCGTCCCGTACAGCTTAAAGTTGACAAAATGTTTAACAATCTTGAGTTTGGTTGCTCATTTAGGATATGCTAGCATCGATCACACTAACCCATGTAAAATGGACTGACCGAGAGATAGCGATTTTACCTTTCACGCTTTCACTTTGTTTTCTAGATTTCCCTGAGCCTTGGCGATTTTCAACTCAGAAGGTGTGGATTGTGTTTTGGTCTAGCCTGTCGCCTGACTTTAGGGAAATGAGTACACCGAGGGTCTCTGTTTCCTGGGGCACTAGTCTCACAAACATCAACCTGCACAGATTGGACAAAGTCGCACATCTCCTCTGAAAGAGCTAAGTATCAAAGAAAGACTTGAAAATTTTGATACTACCTGTGTCCATGAAAATATGGCTAAAACCCTTGGTCAATCATTTATCTTCTCATGTGACAAGAAGGTTACAAAATACCACCAGCAGAGTGAGTGAAAATATTTAAATCCAGAGTCGACTGTCAACCAATCCAAAGTTCAAAATAATTTAACCGCCATGAAGAAAATAATTTACACAGAATCAAGGGCTTTACCAAAGAGTAGTTTGGTCACTCATCAAAAGTTGCTTGCCATTTCTCTTATCATGGATGAGGTCTTTTGCCGATGAACATGGTATCTACTCTGACGCCGGCCATTTCTTGTGCCTTGCCGTCACAGAGTGGATAGGTCAATCAACAAGATGTTAGGAGAATTTCAAGGCACAGCAAGTTTATGGCGACGATGGCCCTATATAGAGCTGACTGGTTCATTGGTACATCCTCCTTGTCTCTCTCCCCACATCCATCACTTCAAAATAAATCTTACTTTCAATCCACCATCATCCTTTACCTTTTCACAATACCAGTTTTCCGATTGTTCGCCCATCAGGATCACTGGATCACTTCTATAACTGAACCCACCAAAGCTCAACCTCAACTCTATATCCAATCATCATGCCTTCACCTCTGCACATGTCACTATTCGCCGACTTCAAAGAACAATATGGCCGCTCAAGTCCTGCTGTAGTTCCAAACGAGCCAGAGCCAATATCGTATTACGCTGAAGTGCTTCTGTCGCTCTCACGAGGGGTCGTTCACCCTGCACCAAACGTCACGCGGACTCCCCTGCGCGAGCATATCGACCCTACCTTGCTTTCGAACACGAGTATCACATCCTACATGGTTCCCAATCTGCATGGCACAAAGAGCAATCGATCTGAAGCTCAACAACAGCAGAAACCCTTGAGAAGACTACCTTCCCACGTGGTGAGGACCTCGAAACCTAAAATCTCTTTGAACGAACTCGCGAGTAAGATGGAGAGGTCATCTCGTGCGATCGCCCTTCACGCTGCTGTGATTTCGGATGCGCTACATGAAGTAACCCCGAACATTGTACACAAGAGACAACGTTCGATGACAGCACCTGATACAACAGATCAGAAGAGCTCAAGAACGAACTCAAAAGGCAAATCAACCCGTCCCACTCGATCTCGGAAGCCAAAGGCAAAATCTAATGATAAAGTCACAAAGGCTTCTTCGCTTATTCCCGATCCTCCCTGCCCACCGATGAAGCGAAAATTAAGACTTTGTCTGGCTAACCAGATCAAGTATTGTGGTTTCATACCGGACGTGAGTGACTAGCAGGACTTTACAAATTAAAGCTTTTGATTTAATTAACTTACCTTGATTTGATGACGTTTTAGAATCAGCAGGACTCGAAAGAGAACCTCGTCTATGGGCGTTTGTTTGGGGCAAGTGAGGAAAGGCAAATTGATTTGGTAATGAAGAAATCCTCATAGTTTCAGTGTGGTCGGCCAAAGATGCAAATTGCTACATCGGTAAGTCAGAAGCTCGTAACCTTTCATTGTTCGCGATCATTTAAGCAAACATCTCACATCTCTATCCATTCATCACAGGTTTCCGATGATCAAAACACGCGACTCCAGAACTCCAAAACCAATGCCTAAAGCTTTGACTTACATTTTTCTTCGGCTCGAGATCATAGTTGTTCAGCTATATACGGTGTCTTCTTAAAAATCTTATTATTTTCTTAATGTTTGAATCTTGAGCATTTCTTTTTCCTTTCTGCTAATCTTGTTCGTCTGCATTTTCAATATCGTGTCCTAAGCTTCTCATCAGTGTAAAGCATATCTTTTCTATCAAGCTTGTTTCTTTTTCATCATCAGCTCTATTAGTTCTCTTATCGATTGTATGGGTTCCTTGAATAGTATTTTCACAGTTTCTTGATATTGAGGTTTGATTGTGTCGTTTTTATCTTATGGCTCTTTTCAGCTTGTATCCTTGTTATGAGAGTTCAGATCACCCTCACTGTCGGTGATCCATTACCATACTGTTGCACTAAAGGCTCGAGCTTTCTTCAGCTCTAGGATGCTTATATGTACTGATATCATCTCAACCAGGCCTATGTACCTTCTGCTTTTCTCGCACCGACACCAAGAAATGCCTCACGGGCTCTGATATCCGTGTGGTTTAAAAGCCGAGCATCATGCATAGACGCGTCTAAATCGTCATCAGTCGAGATCCGCGAGTCATTAAAACGGGCCACTGGTGTTCATGGGTGATCTTGTGGCTTAGGAAGAGGATACGAGGTGGTAGAACTGAGACTCAGCTTTGAATTTCCTTTGTGAAAAGCTCGTATGCCACAATGACCCATCTGCTTGGTTGAAGTCAGTCCCAGCAACGGCCACTCTATATACACAGCTCAACCGCTATCAACATGTTGCCTGATCATCATTCAAAAAGTTTCATAATCTATACGAACTTCATCCAAATCATGCTCCCAACATGACCACTCAACTTGAGCCAAGCTTGTCACTCAACTCGGTTCATAAGTTCCTCTGCACTTCAAGAGCCACTCAAGCCAATGTTGCACTATGTCGAAATACTTCTTTCGCTCTCCAAAACGGTCTTGCAACCTACGGCAAATGTCATGTTTGGTCATCGCGGCAGAAATATTGACCCATTCTTACTCTCTCATCCAAACTTCATTTCATCTTCAACCCTTTGAAAGTACCAGTTAAGCTTTCCACTCTTGAAATCTTACAAATTCAGACTCCCTTAAATTACAACAAACTGACCTCAAACACGACACCCTTCTCCGACATCCCCCAACGAGATGCGCACTCAAATTCGCCTTCAGTCCAAGACACACCCATGCCGATGTCTTACTACATCGAAGTACTTCTTTCGCTCTCCAAGGCAGTCAAGAACCCCACTACAGAATCAAAGTTCAATCTTCCTGGCCGGCATATTGACCCAGTCTTGCTTCCTAAACAAATTCCTTCATCGAATACGTTGTCGGATCCAAAGGAAACTAGCAAACTATCCTCTGCCTCAATGGTAAGGCAGCCAAGACAGAAAATGACGTTGACTGAGTGTGCCCGGAAAATGGAGAGGTCGTATCGTGGAATTGCACGTCACGCCTCAGAAATTTCAGACACTTTTAGGGAGCTCGATACTAGTAGGGTTCATAAGAGAGAGCGTACTGTGACCGCCACCGACACAGTAGATCAGAAGAGCACCAAGAAAGGACAAAAGCTCAACCAGCTCGTGCTCCTCGTTCTCGGACAACCTCTTCAAAACCTTCTACACTTCCAAAACTCCCTGCTCAACCTTCACGGACGGTATTGAAGCCAAGAATACGACTTTGTCTGGCCAACCAAATCAAATAGTGTATGAAAATCAGACACTATTGGTTAACAGAACTGTATATGTATCTCACGTTTTTGTGTATGAGTTCTTTCTCCAAATAGCATTCTTTCAAGTTTTATATCAATCTTCAAGTGTCTTTGGCTTGTATCCTTGTCACAATAGTTTGTTTCTGTCTCCTATCACCTTTGAAATAAGCATCAGAGCTATGTTAAGCTCTATGAAAGTGTCTATGATTCCACTGCCAGACAAACCCATATCTTTTGACCATTCTTGGATAGCTACCATTCATCATGAAACTTACCCGATATTGTAAGAGTAACAAACCTGATTGATGGTGTCATTCACTTAAGAATTTATAGATAAGTAGCATATAATGTGTAATTGACTTTCCTATCTTAGTTGCAAGATAAAATGCAATTAAATTCTCAATAATGAAAAGATCTTCCATCAAGAACCAATCACATTAGGTTCACCTTCAATAGATGAAGGTATGTTATGCAAAAGGTAATATGAAGAAGTTGAGAGCTAAACCAGTTCATCAAAGACTTTTTAGTGATTGATAGCTCTCCTCTAAAGTTTCTTTATAGATGTGAAGTAAATTGCCTGTTTATGTACTAGTACTATAAAAAAATATGGATCAGAAGATAAGAAGCAAAACTCTCCAGATGAAGAAGAAAATGATCATAAAAGACTAGTATAAGGGACACGAAAAAAGGAAAAGTGACAATCTGAAATAATTTATAGATCAAGTAAAAATCATACAAGAGGCAAAAAAAAGTGTGCACATCTGTGAAATTGTAAATCTAATCAACTGGTAAGAGTGTGAATTCCTGCTACAGCAAAAACAGATAATAAACAAAGATTTATAGGTAACTTGAGGAAACTCGTAGAACTTGTTTCGTTCTAAGAAATCTCCAAGTCAGTTAACTTGAATAAACTTCAGACAAAAGCAAACTTGAGACACTATTACTTACAGTAGATAAAGATGTAGTGTTCTGAATCTCAGCCTTCACTGTAGGACTCGAAGAACTAGATCCAATTCCTAAAGAATTTACAATATTCACATGAATAATTCTTATTCAAAGCTTTCAGAAGTTGGATGAGAAGTTAAATGATACTGACCCTTAGAACCGTTTGTCGCATGAGGTCCTACCGCCACTGAGACCAGATCACATCAAATAGAATCATCAAACATCAATTGAAATGGAACTTTGATTGATTTACAGTATTTTTTGTATGTTGCTTACTAGGAAGAAGACCAGGACAAGTACATTTTCCATCTTCAGATAAAACTCCAGGAATTGATAACGAAATAGGCTGATTGAGTAAAAGAAAAGGTTTAATCTCAATTGAAAAAAAATAAGAGTAAGATAAATGACTTACTATAGAGGTAGTAGTAGAGTTCATTGTTTCAGGTAATTTCACACAAGGTATAGATTTATTGAATGTCGAATTATCTGATTCTGATACATTTTGATCAGACTTATTGAAGTTCAATCCATTGGGATTATCAAGGGTAGGTATTTCTGTAGTGTTTATGATAGAATCCTATGAAAATAAAAAATAGGAAACCGTGTAAGTAAACGTTTTCTTAGAAGACATCAAGAATTAGATTTATGATCTAGCTTGTATAGAAGCTATGACTATGTTTACCTTTGAAGTTGCTGATACGTTGAGATTTAGAACGTTGTCGTCTTTTGGGGGTGAAGCTAATGTTGAAGATAAACTCGCACCCAAAACACAACTCAAGAGAAAAGATCTGATCGAGATAGATTTAAACATTCTAATAGATTGCAAAATCAGACAAGAGATCAATGATAACAGTTAAAAAAGAATTTTTATTTTGATGACTTCTATTTTGAATGGAAGAAAAGATGGATAAGTGGGAGTGAGTATAGATTTAAAGACAGTTCCACCCAAGATCATAGTAATACATTTATTATCAGTGAATCAAGAAGTAAAAAAATCGAAAAAACCCTTTCATCGAATCATAAAAGTTTAATCATCTTTGATATATATATGAGCAACGTATCATAGTGACTTCTTTCAAATCTTATCAACCATATATAAATATTACGTGATCTTCACTCAATGGGATATGGATCCAAACCAAAAATGTTGTTTCAGAAAGAATTCTATCGCGCGAAACTAAAGGATGGATAGTCATCTCTACTTTCTGCAGTGAATACGCAGGTAAGAATGAATTACTTGAAGAACTTTCACAGATGAGCACACATATACGCTTGACTCCATACAGAGCTCAAGATATAAACAAATCAAAGATATCGGAATTATATATGAATGATATGATATCATACAACCTGGTCCCCTTTGTGTTTCATACAGCTTTCTATATGTTCTGTTGACAAAGCATATGATTTGTATTGCTACACGGTGTAGCAATAGGTGTAGTACATCTCATATCTTATCATCAATCAAGACATAACCACTTCAAGTTTTTTGGGGCACACAACCCATCTATCCCCTAATCCAGGGGTTAACCCTGCTTATAAGTCTCCCCAGCTTGGGCTCGCGTGAAGGGTCAGGCGGTAAATGAGAATTATTAATGGTTCAAATCCAAATGAAAACTTGCAAAAACAAAACATACAAGTTTATATATGTGGCTTTAAACATCTTTTACTTAAAGTTGCAAAAATTCCATGACTTGGATCCTGATAAGGAATTCAATTGTAATTCAAAAAAGATATAACTAATTCTTGAGACATGGAAAAAAACTATCAGATTGTATCCATTTAAGATATACATCATTGAGATAGATACATACATAATTGTACAAAATGAGAACAAGAACAAGAAGGAGAAGGAAAAAAAGGAAAAAAAATGAGAAACAACTAAAATGATAAGATTTATTAATGAATTATACATTTGTTTATTTATAAGAATGAAAAAGGAAAACTTCAAAGTGAAAAATGAAAAAGAACATGGATTTTTTTTTTAAAATATCAAACAATCAGTGTATATATTGATCTTTCTTAATTTGTTTCTCTACAGTTGTTGCTTTATGATCGATGAGATGTAAATAAGTAACCAAAAATATCTATGAAAAAATCAATTTCTTTAAACCCCCCAATCGATAAACCAAACCCAACCCTCAATCCAAACCAATCACAATCCAAACCGAAAGACCATAAACCAAATTCCAAATTTCATAGAAAATCTGTTCTCATGATTCTTTCTCTTCTTTTCCAGGACTAGTTGATCTATGTTTAAAGTCATGATGATAAGTAGGTGAAGGATTAAGTAAATTAGATTTCGTTCGAACCGGTGTGTTATGATGATCTACATATCTTTCTTTAGGTGGTGGTGATCTATTCGTATCTAATTGTAGTGAAACATTAGCTAAACCAAAAAAAACAAAAACGAAAAACAAAAAAAATCAGTAAGAAAACAAGAGTCAATTTATGAAGATCTTCTTCTTTAGTAAAGAAGCTTTTGTGGTCTTGAATAAAATCGGTTTGGTTATAACTTACAACCTTTAAAGTCTTGATCCATTTCAAAAGCATCAGATCCATACATCATCCCAACCTGTTCATGTTCATGTTCATGATCACCATCCAAAACTCTTTTCCATCCTTTTCTACCAATCCCTTCTTGACCATCATGTTCAACTTTGAATCCATACCTTTCCCTTTTCAAAATCTTTCTACGTCTTAAAATCCAATACCCAATCCCAATAGCAGACAAAACCAAAACGCCCGAAAAAACTACTACAAGAACAAAACTGATGATCATCATGGAATGGAATTAGTGATCGATCGAAACGATTTCTTTTGGATTCGATTTGATTGGAACTTTACTTTGTTTCGGATCCTGAGATGGTAGGACCTGCATAAGTTGATTGAGGTGGAAATGCATCATAACTTGTACCTTTGGGTCTATAATACCAAAAGAAATCTTAGTTTTTATAGAACTTGTAAATCGAATGGTTTCTTGGATGATTTGAAGATGACTTACATGGCTGGATTGTTTGGATCACCAGCAGCTAACCCACCTCGTCTTTCAATTCGATTCGAATTCTTCATATCGTTTGTTTGATTCTTCGATAAATTCCTGAACCAAAACCTACAATCGATTGTGGTGTTATAGAAATCAGGTTTCGATTTGATAGAGTTTGTATTTTGGTCAAGTTTTTTTTAATTTAATTTTTTGAAACATGTAAAATTAAATTTCCAACCGATTTCCAAACTTAACAACTCTCCAAAGCAACCTAAGACTTCATAGAACACTTCGGTTGATGAGTCTCCTAACACAACACATATCACATATATGTATTGATATTCACAAAAAAAAATAGACTAAGGTGAGAGCAAAATAAATACAACCTATTACATATCAGTAAGTAAGTCAGGCAGAGAAACAAAATCATCCAGTTTCAATAAAGTAAATCAAACGTTGATTGTAGGTATATCAAACGTATTTTGATTTTTTCTTTTTACAATATAGGTAGGTAAACTATATAGATTGATTTTTTAAATTAACTTTTGAAATTTAGAGATTACAATATCTTTAAGAAAATGAACAATTAACCAAAAAAAATAAAACTTTTTCATCCATGAGTAGAACCAATTTTGTTTGCATTGATATCAAACACCACGAATAAAAGGACTAAAGAACACCACCCCAAAGATCAGTCACCAGAATCTAGACAAAACAGAAAAAAAACAGATGACTACTCAACTGATTCAAAGCTTCTTTAGGGCTAATCCGTTTACTAGGTTCAAGGTTCAAAATTTTTTCTAATAAATCTACAAAAGCACCTAACAACCGTACATCTGAATCTTGCATTTTCTTAGTCACATGATTTGGCATTAATCTAGATTGTAAAGTTTGACTTGGTTTGCTTGGTACGTTAATACTCTTGATCACATCCTGAAAACCAAAACCATCTTATCAGTAAAAACCTTGATGCTTTTAAAACAAAAGGAAAAAGAACTCAAAACACTCACTGCACCTGTTAATTTATTCTTTTCAACACTTAAAAAGTTTCCATTCTCTTCATCAAAATGAACATCATAAAACTTAGCTTTCTTTAACGATTTACTATTAAACCTTCCTTTTAATTCCATGATCAACAATAACAAATGATTATTGCTTCGTCCTGGAAACAAAATCTTGCCTGTATATAATTCATACAACGTACATCCAATCGACCAAACATCAATCGAACAATCATATGGAAGACCAAGAACTAAATGAAGAAGTTCATTCAAATCAGTCATCATCATTCGAAAGACTTTCTTAGATTGGGATGAAACTTAACTGATTTCAGGAGCACGATAGAATCTTGACACCAAGTATGGGGTGATCTCATTCTCAGAAACGTCCGATGCCGATCCCAAATCACATACCTTTAACACGGATTTGCTTTCGCTAACCTAACGATTCAAACCCAACCAAATGCTCAATAACCCCCTCAAAAACATAACATAACATTCAAAAAAAGGCATAAAAAACACAAACCAAAATGTTATCCGGTTTCTACATTACCAATTAATATATTCATGAAAACCAAACAAAGTGATCAATCATCAAGAAATAACTCCTTCAGTAAAAATAAGAAATCGATTCAAAGACTTACCAAATCGGCATGCATAATATTACATTTCTTCATCAATGACAAAGCCAGAAACATTTGATGAGCATATGCTCGTACAGCTCTTAAATTGATACCAACGTCTTTTCCAAAACGTTTAACTACTTCCCTCAGATTCATACTTTGAAGGAGAAAGAAATCCGTTGGGTCAGTTTCATTTTTTTTTTGGTTCGAACGCTTTGATGAAAATGCTCAAGTTTACCTCATAGCCTCAAATACTAAACAAAGATGACCTCGATGTTCAAAGGTTCGTTCGAGTCTAATCACATGGTACTTGCCATTCGGGTCAGTCTCCTGTAGTTTTTTAAGAATACTGGCTTCTTTCTGACCAGCTTTGTACCTGATATGTCAAATGCATAAAAATTCATCAATCAGTCAACATCACTCTCTTTGGAACGATCAAATCAAGGCTACTCACATGCTCTCCTGACTCCTCACTACTTTGATTGCTACATCCCGACCTAATCCAGTGGAACCATCTTTAGTAGGATTATGATGCATATCTTTGGCTCGTACCACTGATGCAAACATCCCTTTGCCAAGGTTAGCGTGTACATGATATCGTCCGTTGTCCAAAAGTTCACCCAAGATCACTCGATAGTAACCATCTGCGTCATCAAAGTTGTCAACTACTAGACCGTCTGCATCTGCCCCTGCCCGGTTGATCACCTGTGTAAACCAAACACGCAAGTCAATAGCCAACATCATCGTGAGTGGGCAACAAATGCTTACCGGCAAGAAAGGCACATTGCCATTAGTCGGATGGTGTCCATTGGTACCATTTTTCTTCTTCTTGGTCTTCTTTGAAGGTTCGATTGCAAACATATCGTCTTCGTCTCCATCATCGTCGTCTTCCTCTTCATCGCTTTCATGATCATCTGCCTTCGACTCAACCACCATCGGAGTAGGCAATTCCTTGTTGACATCCTTCGGTTTGGAAGTCAAGCTCACTTTGTTATTGATACCACCGTCATGACGTCCTTGTTGACGTTCATCGTCCAACCTACGATCATCATCTGGATTGTAATCAGCTGCAGAAATGCTTTGGTGACCTAATCCGGTGGCTGTAGGTTGATCTAGAGGATGTTTCTGAATCTTGGTTTCTTCGTCCTCGAGCAATGCTTCATTCTTCGAGTTCGGATCTTGAGTGAGATCAAAGGTATTGGTCTCGACCACTGGTTCAGGCGAGCCGGGTATCGAGTCTAGGGGAAAGAACAAAGTGTCAATTTCTACCAGCGATATATGACCAAGAGATTTGAGAAGATAACAGACCAGAAGCATGATCCGAGCCAGGGGGAGCTTGTTGTGGAGTATCAGTTCCGAGTCGAAGTCTGTTTGCCGGGCTGTTGAGAGTGCTAACTCTGAGTGAAGAGGTTTCGGATGTGAGGTGATTGTGAGGTGGTTTAGATGAAGCAGTTGAGCAAGTTGATCCAAGCGCACTGGGATCGGTAGAGAAGGATGTAAGTGGAAGACTTGAATCTGTATGATTGATAGTAGTAGAAAGATGGGAGGAGTTAACGACTTGTGAAAGTTGATGTTTAGCTAAGATCTCAGCTCTTTTACGACGTGCTTGTTCGAGAATCTCTTCTTCGGTGAGTTTAACCTCTTCTAAAATCGGTTCATCTTCTTCGAACATCGATTCGATCTTCATCGAATTGGAATCGATGGATTTCGTGGTTTCACTCTCTTTACGTTCGTGGTGAGTTTCAGATCGACTACGATCCTGTCGATGTCGCTCTTCGTGACTAGTTCTGGATCCATGCGAACCCCGCCGATAAGGTTCGTCATCAAAAAATCGACGACGAGGAGGTGAAGAAGGTCGATCTGGTCTTCGTTCTGACCGTCGGTCTGAGCCTGAGGACTGCCTAGGATGATACGGTGGTCTGTCATGATCGTGACGATCACGTCGCCGTTCACGACTACGGTCCCAATCTCGTGGAGAATGATCATCACGTCGTCGCTCCCGCTCTCGTTCCCTATCTCGTTCCTTTTCTCGTGACCTATCTTTTTCCGTAGATCTACCGGCATCTGACCGACGATCCCGATCAGAGCCACGGTCAGATCTTGCCTTGGAAACAGCTGGTGGTGGTGGGCTAGGAGGTCTATCTGAATAATCGAGACCTTCTGCAATTCTGTTATCGAAAAAGTTCAATTGGAAAAGAGAATTAGGAATCGGTTTGAAATTGGATGTTAAAGATTGGTAAAAACTTACTCGCCGTCTTCTACTGCATCATCAAGGTGAGTAGGTCTTGGTAAATCTGCTACAAGACCTTCTCGAGTTCTTTCTCTACGTGTTGATATATCATTCGAAAGTCCTGAACTTCTATTCGAACGACGATCACGATCTTTATCTCTAATTCGATCTTTAGAACGAGGAGGACTCAAGTCTTTTTTACGAGATTTATGCTCTTTTCTTTCATCATCATGATCTGGATCACGAAACCATGGATTATCTTGTGTTCGATTACGTTGGTGTGAATCCCTAACGGTATCGAAGGTCCGTTTGCGTGGACTACCAAGCATTTTAGAGGTGTAGGCTTTCGACTTGATATAATAATAAAATAAGAATCGGTGACCAAGATGATGATAGGTTCGATAAACACTTGAAGATAGTTGATGATTTGAGATTCAAGTGCAGTTGTTGATAGATAAGTTGGATGAATGAGTCGAGCTGAAGGTAAATAGCCAATTGAGCAGCTGAAACAGACAGACCCCTCGAGGCTACATGCTAAATTACACAATCTGGATCTGTCACTCAGAAATCACTACTGTCGTCTTGGTAAAAACCTGTGAAACCCATGAATACACCGTGGACCTATAAAGGTGAGAGCTCACGCAGAGTATGTCACAGTTCTGTCAAAAGGCCTTATGAAACCCATACAAACATTTTCCTCGTCTCTTCCATTTGTGGAAAATTCTGATCATGGATACAACTTGCATTTGATTGTGTCCTTCTTCTGACCTGAAGTAGCTGCCTATTCGTACCGTATATTTGCCCAAAGCCAAGTTTCCCTCCAAGCAGAACATCAAACCTTCAAATAAATTGCATTTTCCTGCTGCCTCAATCAGAATCAGATTGCTCTGTGGTCTGTCCCAGCCCGAATTCCAGACCCGTGGACTCAGGGTAGGTTGATACCTTTATATAAATCAACTGGCACGGCTCCCATGGAAGCGTATGATATGTTGACAGTGGCATAGGATTGCAACGCGAGGTTTCACGTGGATATGACCTTTGATTGATTTGCGCTCAGTGGCTTTTAGGATGTTTGAAATGATGTTCAGTTCCTTTGAAGTGTGAAGTAAGAAATTGTTTTGACTGTTAAATAAGAGCCCATTGATGATCTAGACAAAGAAATGAGAAGTTCAGGTGAGTGAAACCATACTAAGTACATATATATTACAAGTTGAAGATTGGTGAGATTATGGTTTATGACAAGTGTTGAGAGTATAAATGATGACTGTGTTTCAAACTGAACTTCACTGAGTATACCGACCACTTTGACCAGCAACAACTGAACCACTTCAACTTCAACTTCAAACCATTTCTTTTACATAGTTGGTCAATTGATTGATATAAAGTACTCAGATAGCAAGACTCAGTTCAACCAAAAAAAAGATAATGGAAAACCAACCTATCTTAATCACTTCACATACTTCATTTCATTCATCTCATCTACCAACTTATACAACTCATCAGAATCAAAAACGTCAAAGAAGTTCAAGTCCTATTGAAGATCAAAGATACATCGTTAGTATCTTTTTCTCAGTTTGTTTGAATAGAATTCTAATCATTTGGTTTTGGTTTTGGTTTGCGTGGACAGAAACAACGTTCGGATTCGAATTTCGTATCTCAACCTCCTACTCCTACACTTTTGGATGTATCAGATGAGATTCAAACTCGATCTTGGACTGGCACACCTTCAAATACTAGCCCTCGATTGACTTTTGAACCTTCATCAATATTTAATCAAACTCATCAGGATGTTCAGGTTGGTTATGAAAAACCAAAATCCTTGACTCAAACTTGTGAAACTTGAAGCTGATGAATAAAATAATTTTGTTTGTATTGACTGCTTGAACAGATGGAATGTGAAGATGATGCGCATTCGACTGATACGTTTAATATGAATGATTCAAATCCGATAGGATGGTCACCACGATCAGTTCACACCCTCAGAAGAGTCTCAACCCCAAGTGAAACTCCAATCCCCACGACCTTTACTTTACCCATCACTGCCACAACGATGCCTCATCCAAGACCCCAACCATTACATCGACCTCATCCAATGGCATATCAACAACACCTTGCACTGCTCTCTCAACCTAAACCGATCTCTCAAGACCCTTCTCAGATGTCTATCAGTCCTCCTCAAAGTCCTTCTAGACTTCAACCGTTTCCATCAGATTTGATTCTTCAACCTGCTGAAAGACCTCAGAGACCTAAGAATCCTATTAATTATATCTTAGGTCCTAAGAAAGGTTGTGAAGATTGTCGTAAGAAAGTTGCGGGTCATTATACACATCTTTAGAATCGTCAGCTTGGTTTGATCATCTAAATCAATATAATCTAATCATATAATCCAATTCTATGGTTAATTTTGATATATTTAATAATTTCATTCAAATCATCTTTTTAAACTTATTGATCTAACTCTTTTTCGTTTACTTTATCTCTTGTTTTATTCTTGCTAAATTTATTCTATTTCTTTGCTTTTGCTTTTGTTATGGGTATCTGTTTTATTTTTGGGTAGGTTTTAAAAAAGGTAGGAAAGATGTGTGTGAAAGACCTTTTGCATGAATCATATGTGATGAAAATGATGATCTATATACATCTAAATAATTAGGTTTCTCTATGTTTAGATCTTGAATTTGTCTTTTTCGAATCTTATCATCAAAGACTGTAAACTTATTAGAGTAGACAATCACCAACCACTTTCAGAAGAAGAAAAAAAAGACATATTTCATCGTTTGTCTCGAAACTCAGTTTTCATTTATCGTGGTGTCTTGATTTTTTTTCCATACTTATCTTATTAGGTTCTTTAAATGATGAAGGACTCTTTTCTTATACTTCTAATCAATTTGATCTTTTGCTTTAATAAAAAATGTTCTCTGTTCTAGTTTCTGTTCTTTGATAAGAATTTCTGTGAAGGTGTTTTTGGTCTGAATATTGTATGATGTAATTCCATAGGTGACTCTTTCAGTGATATATTTTTTGCTTTGCATAGATTAGATGGTACAATGATATCTTGAAGATATAATGATGTAACCCAGCCTGAGGTTCATAGCATCCACTGTCATCTTCGTATACGGTGTGATCCCTTCGCAATCATTCAACTATTCAACTCTCAGTGATCAAGTGAAGTTTTCTGGGCTTTGTCTCAATCAAAAGATCGAGGGATCTCTCAAGGCACACTTTCTTAGGCTTGTGACGCGTCATATCTCAAGTCTCATAAGTTTACATTGTTCTACTTCTTACCCAATCTGAATCATTGATATGAGTTCTGCTCTGTATCTCTTTGCAATGACTCAATTCTTGAAGCTGTGGTATATCATATCCACACCGAAGCTTCTATTCGAGCTTGGATCTCAAATGAAGAAATTCTTAACAGTTTTCTAGTAGATCCGTCTTGCAAGTATGATTGAAGAGAACCGACCACAATAAATGACGAGTGACTAAAACCAAAAAAAGCAAACCTGCTTATACCGAGGTTCCAAGAATTGGTGAAGAATAAGAGATGATCCAAGATTCTTTAACTCACTAAAGGTCACTCTGAAAATGGTCATGAAATAATTCTTATTAACTATCATAACACTTTCGACATATTGAATTAAGAAAAAGAACAAAGATCATCTACATGATTTTTAGGTGTGATGAAGACGCTCTTGGTTTTAGGTCAAAGGTGATTCTGAATCTGATGATTAAAGATGTAATAGTATGAAATAAGTACAAAGGAAACATTCACAATTCAAAAATAGGTGGTTTTCATTCTTGAAATGGGTCCACAAATCATCATCCTCATCATCTCTTTGTCAAATGGCCAATCCATCCGTTTCTTTTTTGATACGTCTCTCATCGAGGCTATCATATTAAAGTTTAATGGGGTGGTATTCTAGAATTCCTTGATCCAACATCGAAATTGAAGGGTGATAAGGCTTCAGGAAATTCAAGTAAAGGGGGATGAAGACTTGAAGGTCGCGCCGCCAAATGAGATGGATTCTGCGCCAATTTCGTAGCTGGAGGATTTGAGTTCGGGGCAGGTATTGATTGAGTTACATGAACTAAAGGTGGAAGAAGTGTTGGGGCTGTTGGATTCAAATGAGACGAAGCTGGGGCTAGTTTTGCCGCTGGAGGATGTAAGTTTAGGGAAGGCATTGCCCCAGGTGCGTGAACTAGAGATGGATGCAGTGTGGATGGCGCAGGATTCAAATGAGATGGATCTAGGTCCAAATTCGCAGCTGCAGGATTTTCGTGTGAGGGAGGTAATGCTTCAGGTACGTAAATCAGAGGTGGAAGATTTGGATTTAGATGAGATGAATCTGGTGGCAATTTCGCAGGTGGTGGTGCTGAAGGGGAACGAGGAAGAGCCGGTATTTTCGAGAGAGGAGGCTGTGTAAACCATGAGGAGCGAGCTCTCCTTGCATATATCGGTTCTGATGCCTCCGACCTCAATGGTTTGTCACTCTCTTCAGTCACTGGTCTTGAGCTTGCAAAATAGAAATCGGCATTAGAATCTGGATCTGATGTACTTATAGGTGCATCCTTTTGACGGATCAATCGTTGTTGGCCCGTGAAAGTGCTATCTCTCAGTCTTGCAAAACTGGTATTGGACACCGGAGCCTCTTCAACAGCCTTAGCGTTATCTACTGTGACCACTGGAAGCTTCTCTGAGAAATCCTCCTGTGGTGTGATTTGCCATGTAGCGCGCCGTAAGATCTCTTTATCTTTCCTCTTTCTCCTCTTTGACATACAGATCAAGATCACAAGACTGATAACAAATAAGGAGAAGAGGATTGATAATCCGATGGCTATGGATACGATGCGTTGAGAATCAGTTTCATCTACTATACTTGGCTTCAGTGGTTCAGTGCCGGCTACCGTCTTCACAGCATCAGGAGGAAAGAATCGTAGACCATTATCTGGAAGATCGGTTCGTTGGGTCTGTGCAAAGCTTTTGTTAGCTTTGATTAAGAGGTAAATGAGTAAGTTGGTCGTCCGGTTGTGAGAGCAATAAGTGGTAATCTTTTGAAAGATGAGGAAAGATATAGCTTGGTGTGAAGTTTTTTGACAAGACCATTTGAGAAAATGGCCTTTTTTAGGTATGTGAACCAGCTGAGTTGACTGATGCGGTGGAAATAGAGAGCCCATGTAAAATTTCGAAGAGAGATAAGTTGCTCGCATCATTCCGTTCCTTCTGTCTGTGTGGAACTGGGTGAAGAATATCGACCGTTCAATACGCTACTATTTGAAAAGTGAGTGAACTGGGTTTATCAGCTCAAATTGCTTTATGATATCAGAAGTGGTGCACTCCAACTAAAATGCCCTACCTGTCTTAAATTTGCGGAACCTGCTCGAGGCCGATTGCGATGGTGATCAGATTTATTTTGGAAATTCATCAACAATTCGTCCATGGATATGATGACAGACCGTACAGAGAGAAATCATTGAACCAATTACCGACGAGCGTGAGGTAAAAAACAATATTGTGAAGCACCAAAGCAGGGCGAAGTGGGGTCTGCTATCACTCATTTGAGTATGAGGGTATCGACCAACAAGTCCTTCGATCACGAATGTGATATACCTCGGGTACCATGAGGGCCAACCTGAACTTCGCAACAGAGTAAGATCATAGTATCATGAACCGTCAAAAAATGAGGTCATCACAAGCAACGATCCTTGAGATTGGAGTTGGAGATACTTCATTACATTGGTGGAAACATAATGGTTGTATGGGATAATAAGACTTGACAACAGCCTGAAGATTGAAATTTCATAGAGCATTGATGTGTGATAACGATCTCCCGGTATCAAGCCATTTTTTTCCCTCAAGTGAAAGAGTCAAGAAGCCCTCCTTTGGAAGGCTCTGTCACTTGCACACACAATGGAGACAAACGCCAGGCCAGGATGCATAGGAATCAAGGAATCAGGTGACTTGTCTTTGCGATCCATATTTTGAGTATCGTCTCTCACAAGAATTTTTCACACGAGAAAATTGCAAGTTCCACCATAGAATCTGGGTCATAATTTAAGCTTGCCAATCTTTAATAGGTCAATTGAGATATATGATATCACGGTTTGGTTTGCTAGACGGGCAAGGTCAAGTTGCAGCACCGGCCGTCAAATCCACACAGCTTGCCGGAAGTTCCGCGTCAGTTGTCTCAAGTATGGCGGTGCGATGAGTAAGACGGTGAACTTGCTTCTGGTCGAATATCGAGATAGGGCGCAGAGTGGAGCGGAGTGGACAGTCACATTTCTTTGCAAAATAAGAACGAGGCTCGGAGTCGGGTGAAATGAACTCGCGAGTATCAGATCCCCGTCGGAGTGAAACATTTTGATACCCGGGTCCCGATGCCCGAGCAAAGTTTCAGATTTCATAAAACCATCACCTCGTGTGGCTTGAATGTCAATTCCCTTCATCCTCATCATATCTGTCCACCTGCCCTAGGGATGGATGAGGTCGATTGTTTGTCAGCCAGGCTTGAATTACCATGTGGGCTTGTTTTGCCCAACCGGTTAGTCAAGGTAAGAGGCCCATCATCAGTATATTCTTTTGAGCAATCAGTTGACTTTCTATCGTACCATTTATTCAGGCAGCAATGGAGCCATGCCTTGCTAAAAGCAGGAAACCAAGCGAGAATCACTTCAACTTGTATTCAGAATGGTCTGATGGGGGGTTTGGATTGATAATCACCGGTGCGTCCCACTTGCGAATTCATACTTGTTGATCAAATCTTGAAAATGCTGACATCAATCCACCATGCCCTACGCTCAGAAAACATTCAAGTAGCAGAGCATTACATAGGCTCGCCCCATGACATAGTTATGCTACCTTCGGATTTGGATAGAGTTCCTGAAAGCTGGACCACCTGGGCCAAATCATGTCGCACGCCTACACTCGTCCAACTTTGTCATGCAGGACTTCAGTCGTCTCGAGGGTGTGGTCGGTACGTTTGGGAGCCCTCGATCTCCCCTACTTCGATGAGAATATCGATGGGAGACTCTTTACTTGCAAGAGCTCTTTCTATTTTACTGTTCAACACTTCACGGATGATGGATAAAAATGATATCAAAAGGGTGGTGCAACAGTTCGCGGACGGGGCTTTATTGGCACATCGCAGTGGGTTTCTGGGGTTTGTCAATGTTGTTTTTTTGTGGAAGGGTTTGGGGATGTCAACAAAATGTATCTCGAATCATACTAAATCTCACATCATTGTGACAGTGTGCAGCTGCATTGTAGGTGAGCGGACCTGGACAATTTTGACGAAGACAAATATCAGAAGATTCTGAAGGACTCTCCACGTAGCCATGGCTATCTCTTAGCTCAATTTTTAAGCCCGAGGGTTTGTGTACTTCATCTTTGAATGATGAAGCTCCATCAAATTTGACCTGAATCTCCCATACTTTTTCATGGTAGACCAACAAGCGCAGCGATGAATACGGCAACAGCTCCTTTAACCGCCTGAGACTTCTCTTTGAGATCATCGATGCCATTCGAGCTTCTCTTCCTGCTTCATTTTGTCTTTCTGTTAAGCTCAACTCGGCCGACTTTGTGGTACGCCTTTTCAGCGAGGACTTGAGGATATTATACTAAGTGCTCAACCTGATCTGAAAATGATGTCGCTTTATATCTCATAGACTGGGGGGTTAACTGAAGCTGATGCTCTTGTAAGAATAATCTAGATTACCTACGGCCTGATTTAACCCTACCTAAGACCAACTTCCTTTTCTTGGTAGCAAAATGTTGAGTGGATCGTTCAGCATGGAGGTGTTGACCTGATCGAGATATCCGGGGGAACGTACGAAAATGTAGGTACGTATCTTTTAGGTAGCTGGTACATCTGATTCAAGTTTTGTATCGATGGTCACAACATTGGTTCGTCTTGGATCACAGTCTTTAGCGATGGGGAAATGCCATCAGACGAGGGGGCCAGACCCAAAAATGATGATGGGCATAGAGAAGGACTTGGTTTGAAGATTCGACCCCGAGAGGCTTTTTTTGCCAACTTTGCTGCCCGGGCACGAGCGCGCGTCCAAGAGATTTGTCCAAAGAGCACACCTTTGATTCTCTTGACAGGAGGTTTTCGGACACGCATTGGAATGGCCGCGGCAATTGATGCGGGTCATACTGATTTGATTGGGATTGGTCGGCCAGCTTGCCTGAACCCTCATATAGCTTCTCGTATACTAGATCCAAATACGCCCGAACCCATCTGTCCAAGAGTCAAGATTCGAGGGATTGGTCTCTGGCAAACCATAATACCCATCAATCTCGTGGGGGCTGGTTTCAGTACTGTATGGTGAGTCATTTTGGGGCCAATCTTCATGCCAATGTTCTACGTCTCGATCATGATTCATATCTCCATTTTCTTGGATCAAACCTAGGCACGCGTGGCAACTACAAAGGATTTCAAAAGGCAAAAAGGTTGATTTACAGTGCAGTGCATTGGCAGCTCTCAGGGCTCTGGGGCCGTCCAAATCTTCTCATATTTCGCTCATTCTATACGCCACCATAATTATCGGCCTTCTCACATCTTTGCAAAAGTTGATCCAGTGATATTGAGAAAAACCAGAGAAACCACTTGTCAACTTATCTATGAGTACCCTTACAATTCAGCCACCTTTGGTTCATGTTACTTGACATCCTTTGATATATACCTGACCTGAGGAAAGGAATGCATTTATCTTTTGTAGAGATGTCCAACAGAGAATCTGACACCTACATTTCTTCCACTGGTTTGGTTTTTGTCAATTAAAGATGTCCTTGTTAACATGGCAGTCAAGATGGATACACTGAAGACTAAGTCAAAGGGCAAGATCTTAGTGGAACACCACTCTGCTTGACACATATTTTGCTTATGGCATTTGGTCACTTCCATTCCTGATTTATGAACTTTGAGGAACAAGAGTTGTGATCAGAGTCCCCGGTCATATTCCAGATCAGGTTTTGTGGGAGGTAGTAGATGTGCCTATTCACTTGCCAAACCTCTGAAGGGATTTGGTTGCAATCTTCACCCATCTTGCTAATAACACTGAGCTATTGAGCTATTTAGATCAAAGAACATGAGTACATTGGGTGTCAAATTCTTGTAGGATTGAGGGATCTTCCTTGCAAAGGTGGCTGAATAGGAGGTATACAAATATTGAAAATTTTTAAGGACCTATGGTTATAACTTATGGATAATGTGTTGATCAACTAGTTAAATGAGATGTGTCAGGATTGCTTTTCTGGTTGAAGTTAGTGTTAGAGTGTAAGTGACTGAAGGAAAGGAAAATTAAAATTTTGTTCAAATTTGGTGACCATTTAGATCACAGATAAAAATGTAAAAATGATATCAACTTCAGAAATACCCCCTTCAACTCATTCCAAGCTGTGATCTTCTGTTAGAATTATCTTGATTTCAATACTTGTAGTGTGCCTTGAAAGTGGTTGTATATTCATTTGAAATACTGTGTTACTCATTTATTTCATTTTCTTTTATTCAACACTAGATATTAGGCGGCCAGCCGCCACACTGTAATAGCATCATATTGCTGCATGTGTAATTTGTTGGCCCCATATCTTGATACTTCACTCATAACTTGGTGTGTGTGTTAGTAATTCCAACCATTATACTAATCAATAAAGCACAATTTTATGGTTTATCCTGCAGCTGTTGTTTATTTATCTTGGCATGGTCATTGACTACTGCTATATCTGGAATTTTATCCTGTATGACTCACTTCTACCACACAATGTATCAATCATCATATTGATGCATGTGTAAATCATTGGCCCCATATGTTGATACTTCACTCATAACTTGGTGTGTATGTTGGTACTTCCAACAATTATACTAATCAATAAACCACAATTTTATGGTTTATCTTGCAGCTGTTGTTTGTTTATCTTGGCATGGTCATTTACTACCGCTATGTATATCTGGAATTTTATCCTGTATGACTCACTTCTACCAGTGCCACACAATGTAGCAATACCCTTAAGATTGACTTTCAATTGAAGATCATCTATGCAGCATCTCTGTCTTTGACCAGCTTCTGTAGGAAGATCAACACACGAGCAACAAAGATCAAAGTTTGTACATACATTTCCTGAAAGTGTCAAGACATGTCAGGATTGAATTGACTTTGGGGTTCTTGTTGTCAGAAAAGTTTCTTGCCCATCTCATTTTCAAAGATTGTAAAGCTAATTTCCAACATGAAATAAAAACTGTAAAATTGAACTGCTCAGCATCAGCTCAACTCTGTGCTACCTCCCACCTGTCCCCCCTGACTTTCTCATGTGCACCCAAATTGAAGGGAGTGGGGGGGATTGGCTTGGCTACCAAATCCTGCTCCTGCAATTCCCTGCGGAAAATATGGTTCAAAATTAATTGGGGGCAGGAGCCAGGGACTTCACAGATTTGGGGAGCCGGGGAGACCCCTAGGCTTGATCAAATATTGGACAGGTCCAACCGTTTAGTAGGTTTGATTATTTACATGGGAAGGAGAGGTGCCATTAGCCTTTTGAGAAGGATTGTGTACACCTTGTCTGTTGGACTTCTTCTGATAGTGTATCCAGAATCACAACACCTTCAAGTATCCACTATATTGATATCAGTTATTGTGAAGGGAAGAAGATAGCTGGTGCAAATTCAAACTTTCTCTGTGGTCAAATTGCATGTCTGTGGGTCAAGAATCTGCATATGGCTCTTGATTCAGATTTGATTTACCTGAGATTACAGATCAGTCAATTAGTTGTTTGCTTACTCTGATTTATGGCTAAGGACTGAATATTCATAAGTCATGTCATTTGGCATAAACTTGATTGAAATTGACATTGAGTCTGAAGTCAAATTTGATACAGTCAAACCCACGCAAATGCAGACCCACACAGATGCATAATACACCAAATTACATAAGGCCTGGTATGGACTAAAATTCCAATTATTGCATAATTGAATAATACAAATACAGATGTTGGTGGCTGTGATGTATAGTGCCATGGGCTGGCCCTGGGCTTCAGGGGATCTGAAAGCCAAAATCATGATTGGAGCAGTTGTATGTTACACCCATTCTATCATTGCAGTTGTAATTTACACCCATTCTATCATTGCAGTTGTAATTTATGTCCATTCTATCATTCCTCAACTCAATCAAGCGTGGCCATTACCTGTTCATAATGCATAACTTTGGGCACCATGACTATAATTTTTTCAAGTGAGTTCATTGTACATAATGCATAATTGTATACATTATGGTCATAACACATAGATTTATGCATTATCACAAAACCCCTCAAAATGAATAGTTGATCAAAATGCATAGAAAAAACTGTCTCCCCAATTCATGCATTGGCACAGGTTTGACTATAGAAGTGGAACCATAAAGCAAGGTATTCTTGTTTCATCATACTTCAAAACAGGATGAATCATCAAAAGACCAAAGTGTTTGTTGAAACATATGACAAATATCCTCAATCAAGTTATGTCCAAGGCTTCATCTGGAATAACTGCAAGATGTTTAGTTATATTTCTTTGATATAATGTTTTTGGGCTTGAATATTAAGAAACAAAAGACAGAAAAAAATACACCTGCAACATATAAAACAAACTGGCATGTCTATTCAGGATCAATATATGCTAAGAGTTTTGAAGATAGGTTGCAGCCAACTCTTTTTTGAAGTGATGAGTTCTGGTAGGTCTGCTATCTGATTATTCAATTGAACTAAACAAATAATTTGAATCTTTGAAGGTGTAAGATCATGTCATAGATGAAGACAATTATTAGATAGTGATTGGGTTTTCCAAATCAAAATGTGGTTAATCTGACACATTATAAAGGACATCTGATGGGTTTGGGTTTTAGTTTCATCAGCATCTGCTTGAATACTCATTGTTTATTGTTGTTCTTGAGACACACATATTTTTTTTGATTTGATTATTTGAAACTTTCTGTGCCCAAGACCACTCTACTAAACTTGAAGAAAACCAATGAGGTCAACTTGATTCATAGATCAAGTTGAATTCTGATTTCAAAAATAGGAAAGGTCCCAAATAAATATTGGAATCAAAACCAATGTGGATTAGCCTTGGTCCACTTTTCTTCAAGATGGTTGTTGTTGTGAATTTTTAGTGATGATATGCGTAAGTAGATTTGGTTTGGCCTATTGTAGTTTTTTCTGATCAATTGACAATCAACTTGAATATTTAAAAACAATCTAGTCTAGCTTCAAATTACTATAATTCTGAAGCAATTTACAGCCCTCATACTTCAACATTGATTCAATGAGGTTATTACTATGCATGTTCTACAACTGGCTTGGATGTACAGTTGATCCTCTTTGCAGGGAAGTCAAGGAGGTTTGACCTTGGGTCAAGTGATTAAGACCATGATCACCAAATTCTTTCCTTGAGTTCTCTACTCACTTGGTACTAAAGTTTCTAGATGGAAAGAAGTCTTGAGATTCCTAAGAATCATACTCTGACTAGAATGCTGAAATCACGCGTATAGTAAAGAAAGATAACCTGAGGGCACAAGTATCGGTTTTAGACTATAGCAGAACAGCTAATCTACGATGATATCAAGGCATTAACCTGAGGGCACAGGTATTGGTGTTAGACTATAGCGGAACAGCTCATCTACGAAAATATCAAGACACTAACCTGCGAGCTCAAATGGGATGGTGAAGAGCACGCATAAGGATTTATTAGGATAAATGAAACTGAACAATTTGATTTGATTCTTTTCCGACAACTTACCTGAGGGCACAGGTATCGGTGTTAGACTATAGAGGAACAGCTAATATACAACAATATCAAGACACTAACCTAACAAATCACAAGATAAACAAACATAGAGAAAGATTAATAAAGATCAGAGAAAAGATAGGAAGAATCATTTATCTACCTGCGAGCTCAAATGGGATCGTGAAGAGAACACGTAAGAATTTATTAGGATAAATTAAACTGAACAATTTGATTCTAAGATGATAGTTGAGATGTTAGTAAAAGATTAGGAATGATCTTTATTGAAGAAAGAATGAAAGAAAACTGAAAATGTTTGAGATGATTCAAACACGCCTATTGCTATTATATGGTCTGATAAAGTGGTACACGGTGTGAGAAGACTTATAGTCTCTAGTCTTAGTGAGATAGAAAAGCTGACCTATTATAAGGTATAGCAGATAAAGATAATAAGTAAAGATGAGTGGTTTGCTCAACTGATCTAAGGAAAAGATTAAGAAGGTTCTGTTTCCAAAGATGATTAATTACCTGATAAAGTGGTACACGTCGTGAGAAGACTTATAGTCTCTAGTCTTAGTGAGATAGAAAAGCTGACCTACAACATCAACATATACTTATATAGGTATTATATTTAGTATTAGGGTGGTTCAAGAAGAGAAACACAAACAACGTGGTTGCCGAGTTGTGATCAGCGTTTTTAGGGTTTCTCAATCCTTAAAAAGCCTGATCACAAAATGACAAACACTCTAAATTTATGTTTTATGGCTTTGTAAATTCAGGAACACCGTTGCAACAAGTGTTTTTTTGGCTTCTTTTTCTTGTTCTTTTTTTTTGTTTTTGTACAGATTCTTTGTTACAGTCGAACCCCTCTTATGGGATACCCGTATATTGGCATAACCCGCCAAATTGCATACATTTTCATCTGGACGAGCAAGGTCAGGGCCAAATTATGCCTTCACCGTGTAACCAGTCAATACCGCAATCGCTACGCTCCGCTCAGGTTTTCGACCCATTTTGGGAGCGGAGCGGAGCGCTGCACTCTATCTCACTACGAACAAAATTGCACATTTTGTTTTTTTTCTCACTTGGGTGTGCGTAGTGGTTTCACCACTACGCACATTGCTATAGAGCAGTGCACCTTGCCTTATTTGAAGAAAAAGATAAATTTGATAAAAAATTCAAAAGCCTGGATGGACATATATATGTATATCTACGTGTTTCAATCAATATAGAAAACCTACGTGTTTCAATTGATATAGAAAAAAAAAGAACAAAGTTTGACTTTTGAAAAAATAAAAACACTACTTCGTTTTTGCTGAGCTATCTCTTTTTTGTACCATGCTATGTTTTTTTACTGTGCTATCAACAAAAGCTTGGTATGCTTTCATCGCTTCTTCAAAATCGCCGCCTGGAACTATCCCTTCCTTCAACCAGGCTTGGGAACCCACCAGACGTTCCATGGTCTTAGGGTGCATCGCTCCACGTAATGGGGTACAAAAGTCGGCCGCGGCGGAAAACGTACGCTCACATGCACACGATGTGGCTGACACAGACAAGTAGTCACAAGCAAGTTGAGCAAGGATCGGAAATTGTGATTCGTGTTCCTGTGATAGAGAATAAGGTGTTAGAAAACATGCCTATGTACTGTATACATGGAAAATAAAAAGATACACTAACCCTCCACCAATCAAGAGGGGTTTGGTCCCGCTTGATTGGGTACTTCCCTTGCAGATAGTCCTCAAGTTCAGAGTTGAAAACTCTGTCAGTTTTGGCGTTCGACACTGCAAATATATCAAATGTGTCGGGTTCCTCAGTAGGGTCTTTGGACAGTTCAGGTGATGGTGATCGTGGTTGATTTTGATAATCCAGCAAGACCGTATTGAAAGCTGTTTCAATAGCAAGATTTGCCGAGGAATCGTATTCAGGATAGTGGATGCTGAAAAACTTGCCGCGGAATCGGGGATTAAGGACGGTAGCAAGAATGATAGAGTCACAGTTTAGTGACTCTTCCTGATACTTTCCAAGCCACTTGGCCATCTCATCAATGGCAACCACTAGGCTGGGAAAGTCATTTGCATCGTTTCGAAGGGTTGTCAGCTCTTTGATGACCCGTTTATATTCGGCCAGGACGATACACCCAGTTGGGCCGTTACCTTCTACTCGGGCCATTGCATCGACAAAGATCTAAGAGATATAAGTATCTATCAGCATCATAATCAGGAGACTGAGATAGAGAAAGGAAAGAATTCACCTTTAAAAGCTTGTTGACTAATTCAACCGCGTGCCATTCAGCTGGGGAGATGGTGACCCCCTTGAAAAACTGGGCCTTGCAATCAGCAGAAAGCATGGAGTTGATGATCTGTGATGAAAATTATTAATTAGATACACTTGATAATAATGATTGAAGACATACGAGATGATACCTACCTCCTGAGCCTCGCAAGCCACCTTTTGGCTCTCGTAGTGACTGTTCCAGCGCGTCTTGCAAGGTCGCTTGAGCATGCGCCCTTTGTAGCCCATCCGACTTGCACGAGACTTGAAGTCGCAGCGCCTGGCTGCACTGCTGGATATCTGGCCACTCACCGTGTTGACCTGCAAACAGTCCAAGCGTAAAGTTTAGGAGCAGAGTCTGACATGATATATAAATAGAATACTGAAGGTACTTACTTTTGAAAGGGCAACCACCACAATGTCATCCTCCTCACAAGCTAACCCAGGTATTTCCAGCTCTTGATTAGTTTCAACTTCATCTACACCATCTGGCTTGTCAGGAAGACCAGCTTCATCCTCGTCATCCGATTCGACCTCGTCAATCTCAACCTCATTGTCGCCGTCATTGACCTTGAGTGTTGGGATAGGGAGAGGATGATTATGTGGGACGCACGGCTTCGCAATACTAACCTTTTGCCCAATTGCTTTGAGCCCATGCCCAACCGTGAGGTTGAGCTTATGGGCATAGCATCGCACGTGATGTGCCGAGGCTTGCCAAAAAATCAGATCTTCTGCTTTTGAGAACATAGACTGCATTTCGGAGGCCATCGGGCCATTGTTACTGCCACTGTCAGTGGTCTGACATAGCATGTAAGACAGATTCAATAGAAAAAATTAGTCAAGCTGAAATTGGAAAAGAGAAGAAATAGTTTGAATGAAAGTAAATAAATGAAACACTTATCTTCTTGTACAGTCCATGACGAATCAAAAACCGTCCGATTGGTCTGGCTAGAAGGGCCCCGAAATGTCTCCAAGCAACCATCTTAAGAGTAAGATGGGTGCTTTGGTAGTTCCAATCCTTGTCAATATAATTGGCAGTTGCCCCGATGAAGGCAAATCGGTTGCCTTTAGTCGTCCATACGTCATGTACTAAACAGAACTTGCCTCGATTGTTCTAAGATCATGAATGTGAAATTCATAGAAGTATATGATTTATGTAAGTATACGATCACACAGAAAGCAGAGAAGTATTTAGAAGAGACAGACTTACCTTGACCTTGTTGATTGCCTTTTCGTGCAATGAAGAATGCAGCAGAACCGCTTGCTGAGCCGCCCAGGTTCTTGATCGGACCACAGCACCGCGATTGACCGTATAAAAGGCCGCGCGAAGGGCTTGATCCTCAAAACGTGCCCATGGAAGAGCGTGACGTACAACCCACAGTACGAGTATCATGTTCATCAGGTCGGGTGTGGAGGTAGGTCCTTTGAAGTAAGACGTCAAAGTGTTTGACTCTTCCTTGGCCTCAGCTTCGATCGTTTCCATATACGAAGGAGGAAGGACAACTCCAGACTTGATTGCCTTGTGACGCATTGTGCAAACTGGTCGATTCGGCTTGCCGTCGCGGTGACCCCATAAGCCGTAATAGGAATTTTTCCCCCTACTATATGTACCAAGACACCAGCGACACTTGTACGAGAGACCCTACAAAAGAAAGTGTCAGTTTTACTTTAAAAAATCAATTACATAAAAGGAAATGGACAAATACATTTGGCGGGTAGAAGTACTTGAGAAGATCCTTCACATTGAGGGATCTTGCCTGATTATAGCCGATCTGGTTGTTCGACCCAATGATCTCAACATCCGACTCTTGAGACAAGTCACAATCCTTAGGAACCTCAAAGTCCTACATGAAACGATGATCACAATTAGAACATGACAGATAAGCAGAAAAAAGAAAGAGTGGGTGTGAAGAAAGAGATAGATACTCACATTCGTTTTGTTTCTCTTGATTGAAGGGGAGGTACCTTTCAATGGGCTGCCTGAAGGTGATTGGGCACGTTTGCTGATTGACGAACGAGTCTAGATAATCAAATCAACCATTAAGTGTCAGCTCTGCAACTCGTATTGATTGAATGTGATCAAAAGTTTTGACCTACCTTTCCTTTTGAAGTGGTCTGGGCCTTTGGAGCGACTCCGTTTTGTTTGTTAGTCGGATCCGGGGGTCGTGGTGAAGCAGCTCGTTGGGAGAGAGAACTAGTTCCATCTTCAGCAGTTGGTGTTACAGCTATAGAAGTACGTGAGTCTTTCGGAGGGATCACAAAACCCGGCTGGGATCGAGCCGGGCTTGGTGGTCGAAGAGTTCGAATCAACGATCTACCTGGTACCTGAAGGCTACTAGGAGTTGAAGCAAGAGAAGTCGATTTTGAAGGAGGCATGGTAAATGATGATTGGAGTTGTTAGTATATGATTCAAAGAAAATGAATGAGGTTTCAGCGAACAATCAAGGAAGGGAAACTTACCTGATAAATAAATTGAAACCACCCCTGTGATACAAACCACAAGCCAGCCATCGATCAAAAGTTGTCCACGAGGTCGACCGATTAGTTCAAAAGGGCGTCCAAGCGCCTTTGGCACCATCCATTGGGAGTATCAAGGTGAGGGGTGAGGTATGATCAAGAAGGCTTCCGAAGAAACCCAGGTAACTCTGGGTGGTAACCCTCTACCCTCGGCCTGGGTAGAGGGCTCCGCTCATGAGCGGAGCTACCCGGGTCCGGGCCCTGTGCGTAGCGGTGTGCTGCGCTCAGGGCATTTCTGGAACTGGTTGCGCTGCGCAGTCTGCGCTCTGCAGACTAGGGACCGTAGCGGAGGCCAAAACCGCTCCGCACACGCTCCGCACACGCTCTTTTGTGCAGAGCGGTTGCGGTATTGAACCAGTTAATGCATACTTTTTTTTTGGCCACCAGTAGGTCATAAGCCATGCATTATGCCAAATTTAGTATGTATGTAGTTGAAGAGGTTGTATCTCCCTAGTAAAACTTGTCCCAAGCCCTTGAAAAAAATCAATTCCACGTGAATACACTTGAATTAAATGTTGAACAAACATTGACCACACAATGCCGCCCAAAAAACGCAAGCCCCAAACAGAAGAAGACTCGGATTCACCATCATTAAGAGTTTCACCAATCAAATTTAATGATTCCTCTCCAATTCATGCCACTCGGATTGGGAACATCATTTTTCTGGCGGCTTCCAGTATGGTTCCATCTGATTTTCCGCCTGATTTAGTCTATGAGGAACATGAGCTTGATTTGCTAGAAAAGGGTGTGGCACATCTCCGTAGAACGTCTCAAGACAAGGTAAAAGAGATTTGTAGACGTCAAGAAGCTGGAGAGAAAGTTTCACCTGAAGAAGAAGATTTCATCGACCAGGGTGCCAACTTCATTGACAAGCAGCTCATTATTGACAAGTTGATTTTTCTCACCAAATCCTTGCCTCTGAAACTCACTCAATCTCAGTTTGACAATCTGACAAAAGTAATTCAATCTTATCAACAAGAGCTAATTGAAAATGAAGAGCACAAGAGGAAAAAACAACGCAAAAAAAAGCGATGCAAGATTCCAAACACTCTACTTCAAGCAAGAAATCCTCACAAAAATCAATCACAAATGCTAGGCATAAACCTCAAGCCAGCCAACAATGTGATGCCACAATTCATGAGAAAGCTGAAATTCTTGCCTGGTACCGCGCCAATGGAGAGAGTCAGACAAAAACCGCCAAACACTTTACAGCAAAAATTCCACACTTGACGATCACACAGCCTCTTGTCAGCAAGTGGGTCAAAGACGAAGTATCTATCCAAGCTGAATTAACAACATGTGCACCAGATATGATACAAGTGCAAACAGTAGCTCACCCCAAAATCGACTCACTTGTTATTGCTTGGATAGAAAGTGCTGAAAAAAGTGGCCTAGTTTTTAGTGGTGACGAGATTCAAAACAAGTGGAAGCATTTTGCACGCTTGGAAGGATTACCAAGTACAGAATGGCTCAAGCTTCAAGGTGGATGGTTGGATAGTTTCAAGCATCGTTATGGAATTCGCTCGGTCAAGAAACACGGTGAAGCCGCTTTGGCTGACCCACAAGTTGTTGCAGATGAAACAAAGCGAGTTCAGGAGATCAATTCTGAATATGATCCAGAAAACATTTACAACATGGATGAGACTGGACTCTTCTATGCGTAAGCTTACTCTTTCTCATTGAGTTTTTCTTTTGGAAACCTCTGTTAATATATTTGTGTTTCAATATCTTATGGCAGATTACCTCCTGATAAAGGACTTGCCACTGAAGGAGGTCATGGAGTAAAGAGTGTGGCATATTGTCTCACAGTCATTGTGACTTGTAATGCAACGGGATCCGACAAACAACATCTTGGCTTCATTGGTAAATCCGCGTGTCCCCAAGTCTCCAAAGGAAAGACACCCAAGAAGCTTGGAATTGAGTATTACAATAATGAAACAGCCTGGAAGAACTCAAAGGTTTTCTTGGCTTGGATCGGTGATTTTAACCGATCCCTCATGCGCAAAATCATACTCTGGGTTGACAATTTTAGCGGCCACAAAGTTCCAGATGGTTTTCTCAAAAATATTTGACTTGAGTTCTTCAAGGCAAACCTTACAGCACATGTTCAGCCTTGTGATGCGGGAATCATCTACGCGCTAAAATGTCACTACCGGAAACGATACCTCAATCAATCACTACGATTACACTCAGAGAACATTGTGCCATCAAAGGTCTTCAAGATCAATGTCCTCATGGCAATGCAAATCTGTAAGTATGCATGGCACTCAGTTTCCAAGGAAACAATCAAGAACTGTTGGCACCATTTGGGAATTGTTAAGTTCAAAGATGATCATGACTCGTAAGCTAGTGCCCATGTTCAACACATTGTTTTCACATATCCTATAAATACTGATTTTGAGTCATATACAATTCAGGATTTTCACACCAATCCGAAATGACCAAGGACTCCTTCAACCTCCAAATGTGAACCTTGAAGATGACATCCAAGAGCTTGAAGATGCTGGTATGATTGGTCAATCAAATCGTATGTCAATTGCTGAGCTCTTGATACCAGAGGGTGAAACTCCTCAATTTGCCGGCCTCAAAACTCCCAAAGAAATCTTTGCTCAATTCCAAGCAATTGATGAAGAACCTCAACTGCGAGTTGAACCCGAGGCTGTGCCAACAAGCGCTGAGGCAATGAAGGCAATGTCTCTTTTGACTGCCTACATGGAAGGAACCAATCACAAATCTGGACCACAGTTTGATGCTGCTATGCGTATCTATCAAAAATATGTCATCTCTTACATCAACTTTGCAAATAAGAAACAAAGTTCTATTTCCGATTTTTTTTACATCAAAGCTTGAAAAGGAAAAGGAAGAGAATAGGATGTATTCACATAGTTTATGGGGAGGGGGAATTTTACACCGCCTCCTTTACACCGAATCATCATGTGTAAAAGCAAGTCAGTGTAAAATTCCAAAAAAGGCGGGGGTTCTTAGATTTTTACACCTCTTTCGAAATTTTTATTCCGGTGTTAAAAATGACGGTGTAAAATATTCAGTGTAAAAATCATGTGGCCGGTCGTGAGGTTGAATTTTACATTGAAATCTTTACACATGTTACGGCGGTGTAAAAAATCTCGGTGTAAATTTCAAGTCTACACATGCAAAGTACATTTTTGCACGTCTAATCTTTACACCGGGAATGCCTGTGTAAGCAGGCCATGTGCAAAAATCCAATTTTGGCACGCGTGAATTGATTTTTGCACAGAATATGTTACGCAGACTTGAGAAAAAAAACATGCAAGATAAACGCACAAGACCCCATGTTTTGGGTTTATAGTCGACACACAGGGAGACAGGAAATAAATGGAACTGAGAAAGAACAATAAGCACCACAGGCTAACCATTTAAGGCATTTGTTTGTTTGTTTGTTTCAAAGAAAACTACTCCCTCAACTTCTTAAGCCGCTCGCGGTTCTCCGCTGCAGCCTGGCGCCCCTTTGCAGCTGCAGCTTTGCGCTTATCAGCTGTAGCCTTGCGCTTATCCGCTGTCGCCTTTCGTTTAGCCGCTGAAGAGGTGTCACAGTGTCCTACAGTACTGCAAAGAACAAAGAGAGTGTAGTGAAGGAAGGCAACTTACGTGGTTGGACATCTGTGGAGGCTACTGGTGGTGAAAGGGCCTCCTCTTCAATTGACGGATTCAACTTTGGTATGGCCAACTTGATCTTCAATTTGAGAGGGTCCAAAGGCGTCTTGATTTCCTCAGAAGGTTGATGAGATAGCTCATCAACCTCAATGTCGGCCTCTTCGGTTCCTATGACATCCACATCATCCAGAGGTACGATATTACCGTAGAGAAGCTTGTCATTTCCGTTCTGAGGTTCTTCACGGTTGAGCCTGTCGTAGAGAACGTCGTCGTTGTCATTTAAGAAATCTTCATCTGCATCAGCGTCAATGCGAACTGGCAAAGAAGCCTCTTCTGGCAAGGTTGTGGTCAAAACGGCGTCGTCAGTTTCTTCAAGAGAAGGAAGGCCTCCTCCGAAAGGCATCGTGCTGGTAGGCATTGTGAAAGGTATTGAGAGGTGTCGGTCTGGAAACTTCTTCATCATGTCCAGAAGGGCATGTTTGATCTTGACAGTTTCCGCTTCGAAAGGGACCCGCGTGTAACACGTCCAGCTGGTGTTAGCAATACAACCAGAAAGGCTGTCTACGTCGCGGGATATGAGCTGGGAAAACCCTCCATTCTTGAGCTCGTCATAATGCCATACGCCCAAGACACCTTCTACTGATCTCACCACTTGGCACCAATAATGGTTCCCACCCCAGAAACCACGGGTGACCATCTGATATTTGGCTTCACCTAATTCTAGACGCGCTGGCCAGTTGGTGTCTCCCATGTAACGTCCTCGTTCCTTGGAATCTAAGGCCATGACGTTGTCCATGAGAAAATATAGATGCAACGGTAAGGATGTATCCTCAATCTTCATACGTTGATCATACAACGTCGGGTCCTCTTCCTCGTGGCCTTTTTCCTTGATTGGATGACATCCACGGCATACAAGCCCGGGTTCGGTTAGGACACCTTCAGAGAATAAATCTTGTAGCAAAATGTCCAGTTGTCCATAAGCAACACCAGACTCCCTGAACATCGATGGGAAAAGCCAGAAACCGCCTAAAGATCTGGTTGTAGCTCGGTTGTGTTTGTCGTTGCGATGACATATTAATGTCTTAGTCACGTTGATAGCAAAAAGAGGCCTTGTGTGCGGGTGGTCTACTATCATGTCCATGAAACCATCAGCAGAACAAAACTTGTCGGACGTGTATGACTCGGGTTTGAGAGCTTGGATGGCCTTGTGAATAATGTTCTGACCGCGTTTCAATAAACTCCCGAGGTGTTTGCCTTCATTCAACTCGCCATCGCAACGTCCGGTGAAATGTCGAATGATGATTGTGGGCAAAGATGTCCCATTGACGTGCGTGTGGTCACTCCAAAGTGGACCCCACAGAGCGTAGAGGGATTCCAGCGTGGCAGTCTGCCAGCATCGATTGAGGGTGCCGATGGTGGTGCCTGACGTATAA